GCTGCTATTCATCTGCGAATTGAAAGGCGACGGTAACTCTTGAGGTTGTTGCTCGCCTAAAGCGGACTTCCGATCATGGTGCTCTAATTCTGATATTGGCACCCCTTTTCCATCCATCTCAGCCTTGCCACCAGTGAAGATATCTGCATCATGTAAACCACGCCCGCTTTCATTTTCGTTTTTGTGTTCTCCGTCGAAATTCCTCTTTCTCCGAGCCCGCCAGCAGAGGAACCATATCATGGCCACCATCGCAACCAAGCCACATCCACCCGCGACTGCAATTCCTGCTATTGCACCTGTTCCTAATCCGCTTGGAGAAGCGGAGTTGACGCTGGTGGTCTCGGATGGTGTGCCTGATGTTGCTCCAGTTCCTGCCTCCACCTCTGTCCAATATTCCCGCCAGGTATCGACAAAGGTATCCGCAGGTCTCGACCGTAAGTCTTGAGTGTTATCCGGGACAATGAGCTGTTCTGACATTCCTGGTCCTGGTGCTTGTGCCATGAAAAATCGCTCTCGGTCATAGTTGAAACCGGTGAAAGCACCTTGCAGAAAAGCTCGACCTAACGTATATCGGTTCAGTGATGAGGAAGCCACGATGTCCGATTCAGTCCATGGTTTGCAAGGCCAATAAGTATCCACCCCCCAGTTCACATAGTTCTCTCTGGCGGGCATTCGATCTATTGTGAGATTCAATAGCCTGAAAGGAATCTTTATAGTAATGTTCCGGAAATTTTCGTCTGCGAATACGAAGGTCATGGAAGCCGGAGAGTTGACGAAGCGCGTGGTGCCGACGGGATCTGAGTGAAACTCCCACACATACAATCCGATTTCTGGCACCCAGCGGACGGGTAGGTGAGAAGCAGCAGCCTCGCATACCTCTGGAGGAAGATACAAGTAAGGGGCAGCCGCATTTGGCAGGACCATGGCAGACCCGGTAGGGCCACCGTACTTGTCAGCCATACTCTGAACGGCGGCAGGGAGACTTTCGCTTTGCCATACGCTTCCAACAGTTGTGTTGTATGGCGATGGTCCTGCTTCAAAGTCGAGGAGTACGTCCACAAGTATCACCCGAGGGAGAGTGGAATCTAGGCGAAACGTTCCTACGTCTCCTAGAATGCGGTTTTCTTCATAGCCCCCCAATATTAGCGATCCTGTCTGGCCCAATGTGACGCTTCCCAAATGCATGTACCAAGAGCTATTGGCGATGAAATTTTCCGAAGTCATTTGGTCGGTGATGCTGTAAATGGAGTTGGGATTAGAATAGTCGTAACTAAGCTCATCGCCCAAGCCAATCGTTCCGACGGGTGCGGTTTCATTCGAGATGTTGGAGTATGCTGTCGGGTACAAATTAGGGTTGTAAATGTCGATGGTAATGTCGGCCCAATAACTTCTTTTAATGTCGCCCATGCGCGAAAGCAGGTTCGTGCGCTGTCGATATACCTTGCTCATGGCATTCTTGTCAAGTCCGAGAGGCCAGTCATCCATGAGTGCGACAGCGCTCGCGTTTGATTTGAGGACGCTTTCTCTGGATGCAGTACCGTTGTAGCTTCCCCCTTCTTCCACAGAAATCATCATGCTGTCTGTTGAACCCGTCGGCCAAAGGAAGTAAGCAATAGACCCGTGATCAAGAGACCCCGGCGTGTCCGAAAGCCCTATCGCTCGCCATGGTCCATCTGGGCCAAATGAGCTTGAGTTAACCCCTAATTCAGGGTCCGTCGACCAGTAAAGGCGCCGGTATTGGCTCCTCACGCATGTTATCCATGAGAGAATAACTACCAACAATATGCCGTCGCGCATCTCGATAGAGAAAGTCGATAGTGACGTCGGAGGAAAGATTCCAATTACCAGATAACAACTGATGGCTGGTAAGAAAAAGGAGAGACGTGGGATGTCCTTTGGCAGTCCCAGGAGGGGGTCGTGAAGGCGGGTCAACGAAGCAAAATAGAAGTTCCCTCTTAGTCTAGAAGAATTTTCTACAGGGATATCTGTAATACATTGTCGGGAAACAGTAATCTCCCTTAAGTCTCGGAGGCGATGTTGCTTGGATGATTTTGAGTTGCATATGCATGTTGGAGCAGACAAAGCTGTTGGTTGGCGGAGTAGGCTTGGCCGCCCCGTCACGGTGGCTGCGCCTGTGTATCGTGTGACAAACATGACGGGTACTAGGAGGCTTCCTTGGAACGTAAAGAGTACTTGGTGGTCAAGTCTACAGGCGCAAGGCGGAAAAGCAAGCTGATAGTCAGGCGGTCGGTATCTTGGCAGGCTGCGGCGTAGAGCTGCATGTTGGTCCAGGGGTTCATACGGAGAAACATGGACGAAAGTTGCCTAAGTTGGTTATAATTTGGGTTCGATGGCATCATAGGAGTCCTAGATATTCCCATCAAAGGCCAAACAAGTTCTTCTGCATGTCTGTACCCACCCAACTTTGTCCTGTGCCCTTCCGTGTCTGCTCAGCTCTCGACCCAACACCTCCGAGACTATTCTCAAATAGTTCTGTCTTCCGAGGATCATCTCTATGCCCATAATCTATTCGGAATATTCAGGGGATAAGAAGCGTGCTGCGGCTTCCCGCGCTACAGTGCTTCATAGTCTGAAGATAGCAGTGATATTTGTATCACGAGGCTGGTGGGCAGACGGGTAGGCGCGCAGCACAAGTGATCGACGTCGCCGAGGGAACAGGGAGGTACATGTAACCAACCGCGCCGCAATCGTACTTATCAAGAGAGTTCCAGTGATAAATCAACACACCCGTGTGCTCCAAGAATAGAATCAACTTTGAGCTAAGGCTACTCCTCCCTTTCTTTTGCATCTAGGCATCTAGCCGAGAAAGCCGTTATGGCCGATGAAGGCGAAACTCGGCCGTAACAACGACTACCTTAACCTTCAAAGTCCCATCTTTCATTTCGAGTACTTGAAAAAGTGTTCTTCGTACGCGTATCACGCCCACCGATATCATTGACCTTAAGAAGAGAACGTAGAAGTGAAACTACCATCAGAAGTAATGGACTTGGCTACTTATTTGGAGCAGGTAACTTGGAGTTACATTATCTATCCTAAAGCAAGAAACCGCATGCATTGGCCTCAAAATGGGCAGGAACCTAGGGCCTTGGATAGAGGCAGCAAATACCCTTGGAATTGACCATCACATAACTTCACTTGCCTCATCGATCATCAAGCGCGCAACAAGAAATGGCACCCGGGAGACTGGGCGGTTCAGTGTGGAAGGCTATCCACGTCGCCGAAGACCCAGTAAGGAAGGTAATTGATCGGATGGAGCTAGCAGCAGAAAGTCTGCTAGCACATTAAAGACACGACCACTCATCCTCGGCACTGTAGTAAGACGGGTGCCCGATTCCGTTTCGCTCTTTGTGTGACACAATCGTTGGTATTATGTTGTCATTAGAATTGAGAGTTACTTAGGTAGGTTGTCGGCGTAGGAATCCTGAACTAAGAAATAGTATTTCCCTTAATCCAACCAAAGTCTCATCTTGGACATATAATCATTACAATGCTTTACGCAACGAGGCCAGCAACGAATGCAGCCGCGGCCGGGGCATCCTGCTCGTAGTTCCTGTGGTCGGCAGTGATGATGATACCGCCGTCGCAGATGTTGTCGCCGTCATGGCAAATAACCTTGACCTTGGAGGCAGGGATGCTGCCAACAGCCTGGCCATCGAACGGGTCGCCGAAGATGAGGACTACATAGTACAAGCTGTCAGCAAGCGGATCTCGAGAATATTCAGATTAGGAATTCTGTAGACTGTAGACATACCGGCAGAGACACGGGCGGTCTGGGCCGCGGTGAGCTTGGACGCAGCGTTGTGGACGAGCTGGCCACCCTGGCTGTAGCCGGACATGACGATCTTGGTGCTGGGACACTGGGTCACAGCCTGAGGAGAGCCTGTTAGCTTGAAGAAACACCCTGCATGAAGGGTCTTGAACTTACGCGAGCAACCAAGTTGGCCATGGTGGTGCTGCCAGCTGCGTCGCCGCCGGCGAGGAAGCCGAGAATGCTAGCGGAGTAGTCGACACCCTGGACAGCCAAGTTGGAGGTTCCGACGAGACTGGCAAGGGCGTTGAAGAAGACGGGTCCCTCGGAGCCAGCCTCACCAACGTTGCCGGACTGAGTGGTGCCACGGGCCCAGATCAAAGTAACCTTGCGGCAAGCCGTGCCGTCGGTGAGCTGGTTGAAGGTGTCGCCGTTGTACTGGCGCTTGGAAATCGCGGGGCTAAGAGCGGCGGTGTCTTCGGGCTTGACGGAGTAAGCGGCGTTGTAGTAAGCCTCAAGCTCGGCGATGGGGAAAGACCCAATCTCGCTGCGAGCGACGGGGACGCTCTCGAGAGGGGCAGCGAGGGCCGTGGAGGCCGCGAGGAAGAGGAGGCTGGCCTTCATTGCGACGGTTCGGGGACGATGGCAGCTGCTGGACCTGGGTTGCGTTGAGAAGCAGGAGGGACTTGTCGGGCTTGGGAGTCTGGAGCTCTGAAGATCTCTCCTGATGCTGGTGCCGGGGAACAGGAGCTACTTTATATGCCCTCAACTCCATCTCCCGCGACTACCTTATGCGGAGCTTCGCACCTGTTCATGATCGAGATGGGCGCGCCTCACGCGCCGGCAGGGTTGCTGGGCCAAGCCTTGGCTGTCGTTGTTTGCTTCAGTCCCTCTCTCAGTTTGCAATGCGTCGCAGGGCCAGGGCCAGCATCGACCATTGGTGTCCACCAACGGTGTAGCAGTGCGACTCGAAAGCTTGGCCCGAGCCCCATTTCGGCCAGTGCATGGCTTCTTGACGCCTGCCATCTAGTGCCATTGACCAGTCAGACGAGTGCAAAACCAGGAACGTCGGTCTTCGAAGAGGAAGCTGGGACGGCTGAAGCAAGTTTCCCCAATTTGTCCTGCAGATTGACTAGCCCACTATAGCACCTCGGCCCGCACCGGTCTCCGTTTGTGCAGCTGATATTGAGTTGTCAAAACTCTTGGATGTCTTAAGGGAATCGTCGAGGGGTCAGCAACGGCCACGGCCTGCGCGGATGACAGCTGTAGGTGAAGTCTGGAGTTGGAAGTGATCATCCTGACTCTGATAGTGACCCCATGGCGTCATGATGCAACTTGATAGGCCCGGCAGTTCGCAGTAAATCTCGGGACCGGGGGGGCGCCTACCAAGCCACCAACCTGTCATTGAGTCCCGTGGCAGCTGAGGGTTGCGTTGACCGGCTCCCAGACGGGGCCAATGTGACATCGCCTCGGGGATGTCGGCCGATTGAAGGTAAGCATATCGGCGTCGAATCCCAAATCGTAACGGAGTTCTGCCGCTCATCGCGGGGTAATCGAGGCACTTGTGATAGGAGTTTGGGGATTGGGTGTCACGAAGAACACGTGGGTTACGAGCCGAACATTGACCTTCCACTTTGACGGTGGAGTCCCGCCCCCAAGAGCTTGAGGGTGGGAGCTATGAATAATGATGTATGACCGCCGGGCGGTAAAGCAGCTTGGCAAGAGGAATCATTTGCTCAACTGGCGTAATTGATGGCCTCTTTGGGAGTTAGCTGAAAGTTAATCAGCGGGACCCGCCGAAAGCTTCGCATTGATTACATACTACAGGACAAAAAAAGAGTAATACGCGGTTTTGATTATGATATTGATAAGTTGCGCAATAGACAAGAGGTGGTTTTATTGAGTTTCACCTCATAGTCTTTGCGAGTTGCAAGTCAGGTTACGGTGGGGCTTTAATGAAATCCGGAACCAGACAAGAAGTTTCTTTTGTGGAGGTTTCACTCGTCCACAAAGAATCCAGAGCAGCGATGTCAATGTCGAGTGAGAAATAGTCCTCAAATAGCTCGCCACCATCAACAATTGGAAACCATATTCTGTCTCATTGGAGTAGACGTACTTCAACACAACGTATGCTTCCAATCCCACTTTAATGGCTCATCTCACCCTCAACCAATGATACTCTTAATGTCGAGTTCGATTGATGGAACTGCACTCGAGTCACCAGGCATAACAAACGTAATGTTCCAGAATTCAAATCCACTGCCTGATGTTAGTACGAAGTTCCGAGGGACTTTGGGAGATTGAGTGAACTCACTGAATAATTGAACAGGTACCGCCAACAAGGCCACAGAATCCAATTCCCGGCTGTGGATTCACCGAACCACTGACGCTAACTTGTATACCTTCAAGATCGTCTAACCCGGAGATATCTCTCTTCCCACCAAGTGGATTGGAGCTCACAAGAAATGTAAAAATACTGGTGGAATTACCGCGGGGGTATGACAGGCTGAGATGCCCAGGACTCACATCCACATTCAAAGCCTCTTCAGTGCCATGGAGAACGGCATAGCCGACGCTGCCGTCGTTCCTAGCCCACTGCACCACCGCAGTAGACCATTGAGAAGGATCTTCGCGAGGACCACCGAGTGTATCCTCATCATAAGACTCGGCTCCAATAGTGAGGTTGGCCGACAGCCAGGTCGTGATATTTCGGGGAACGGAATCGTGAGGGGGCGAGAAAGCGGCAGTCTCATACATGTGCTCACCAGGGAAAACGCTAAGCTTCTCCACAACGTCCGATGGTACAAGAGCATCATGGAAAGGTGCCAAGACAGAGATGAGCGGCGCGTATTCGAAGTCGTCTGCATGCGCCATGCTCCAGGTCTGTGAGATGCCAGGGGCCCTGTCTTTACCGACGAGAGACCAGATGTAAATGTTGATTATGGCGACATATTGGTTCATGTCGAAACCGTAAGTCCTATCCCATGGTCCAGCGACGTTGCGGAGGTTGGCATTGTACATGGCAGCAATGGATTCCCAAATGACTTTGATCATGCGACCACCATGCTGGCCCATCAGTGACGAGTCTGATGGCATGTACTTGGCCCATAGGGTAAGCGAATAGATGCTGACGCCTGCGTACGTTGGGCTGTTAAATTCAGAGAGTGTGCCGTTGCGGTCAAACAAGTCTAAGATCTCTTGGGCGTACATTTCGCCGGCAGCTGTCATGTTTGAGTCGTTGAGTGTACGACCTGTCCACCCGGTAGCAATGGCGCGCATGATGGCCGGGTTGCTGTAAGAAGGGTAGAGATTGTCGTCATCAACTCCACCAACACGGTAGCTGTCTCCGATGGTGTTGTTGTACATGCTCTCAAGAATAAGATCCTGTACGTCGCTTGAAAGAAGATGCCTAAACTCTTCATAAATGACGATGAGAGTTGTGCCAATGAAACCTCGCCAATTAGGGTCCCAAGTATTGTAAATCTTCAAAAACGGTCAGCGTCACAACCGAAACTTGGTATCTGCGCGAGGGGAAAGATACTTACGCTCTTGGGATACGCCGCTGTACCAACAGTTGGCTCCTCTGGATAAACAGTGTAGTCGCCATACCTGGATGAAACTTTGTCGTAAGGTGAAATTCATCTTGAGACTCTTGATGGCAGGGGGCACTAACCATTGTTCCTCGGGAATTTTCTTCTGATCTCGGATTACGTTCTTGATGATCTTGGTGGCATGAGCCACATCGTCGCCGATGTTACGCTGCAGGAGACCAGCTGCGTACCAGACTGAGGATCGTGTCTCGTGCTTTCCTGCCGCAAGTGGGTAGTAGAAGAAATGAAGATAGCCGGCTGCAGGGTCATAGATCTTATCTAAGAAGTCCATGGACTCGGTGAACAAGTCCTTTGTGAAGCCCGATAGCTCAACTGCAGTAGCCCGCTGCTTCAGGCCCAAGGCGCTGAGCAAGCCTACCGCAACGAGACTCTTTGTCGACAGCCACATTTTGATGAAGATAATATCCCAATCTTTTTGGGACGTGGATGAGAACAGCGCGTTGGAATATTGTTGCTACAAATCCGTTTAACTCCTCAACTTCACTTATAAATAATGTTTGAATCCGGCAAAGACCGGTACAGCAGTATCACAGGCCAGTGCCGGCTTCGGCGAGAGCGAGTCGTTCTCATGAGCGAACATCTCGGATCGTCTCCTCATAGTACATGCTATTGTTACTCCAGAGAGGGGGCCTTGTGGAGGCGTAGTGAATGGTGGGGGATCGTCCTTGGCTGGTGACGTGCCGATCTCGACGTTCCGACTAGCCTCTGTGTGCCTGTGCCGGTTCGTAGTGCGATTGTACATGCATGCCGTTTAACCGAGAAAGCCATGATAGTAATCATGGGTTTTCTCGTCCTAAGGTAGCTTGGAATCCTGCGATCGGCAGATAGTGCTCGGACTCCCGCATAGAAATACCGGTTTGATACACCGGGCGGTTCCGGGCCGGTTGCCCGATCGGTGGGAAGCCCGAAGCAGTCTTCTCAACATGAACCACTACCGGCATTCAATAAGCCGGTAGATAGAAAGCCCTCGAATCAGCGGTGGACCTATATTCAAGAACAACAGTTTGAATCGATTTTGTTAATTGATTGCACTAATATGGAAAAGAAGGAGGTATCTGGCAATTTTCTTTTCGCCGACTCTGGACAGGCCAATGTCCGGGGACGCCAAGCTGTCCAGTCGGTCGCTGTGGACTCTGCTCAAGTCACTCGACTGATCTAATCTAAGATTGCCAGAATTGGGAGCGATACACTCAGATCTGCCCTTTCTGCCGTTCGTTCGAGCATCTATCTGGCACAAGAATGAGGTTGCCTGAAGGAATTGCTAAACACGAGGAGAAGTAATACGGTAATAGACGTCCCACTTTAATGGCATTGTCAACCATCATCGACAATCCGCTTCATTTTCTGACATAGTTTAGGCACCTTGCAGTAGTATGAATGACTTCAGATACGGGTACAATAGTCAAGGCTGGGAAATTGGACATCGCATTCCGTTTTATTTTTATCCGAAATGGTTGTATCTGGCTCATCCCCAGATGCGCTGAGCTATGAATGTCTCTCATTAATGCAGAGAGCTTATTTCAGTACGTGACAACTAGCTTTGGATGCAAAAAGATTGAATGTATAGCCTTCTTGCAGCGAACGATTATTGGTGGTTCTGGCCAAGGCAGAAATGCTCAATACTAGGTCCTGGGAATCGATCTTTTTGCAACCTGGTTGAATTAGTACGTTGTCAACCTGTTTTGGATTCGATTCTTCTGGTAAAGCGTAGCTGACTATCTTTGGGCATGGGACCGAACGTGAAATTCGTGACAGATGACATTGGGGAGCCCTGGACTTATGACAAGCCGTTTGATTACATCCATAGCCGCATTATGGCGTCTTCCATCGGCGATTGGGAGAAATACATACAGAAATGTTTTGAGTTAGTCAGGGTCAGCCTTACTCGTTGCCTTGCTAAAAAATTCTAGCAACCTGAATGCTGGCGGGTATCAGGACCTCAATGAGTTCGACATCATTCCCACATCCGACGACGGATCGTTGAGGGAAGATTCCGCAATATGGAATTAATCTAAAATTATCAAAGAAGCTGCTGCGATATTTGGACGCCCATTAAGGGATGTTGTGGGACTAGCAGACCTGATGAAGGGCAATGGCTTCAGGGATGTCTACATCAAACGATATAGATGGCCAACCAACGTATGACCTAGAGACCCTAGGCACTAGGAGTTAGGACTTTGGAATAATGAGAACATCACATCTGGGTGGGAAGGCTTCTGTATGGCGCCGTTCACGAGGGCGAGGAACTGGACGAGGGAAGAAGTTCTGCTGCTCATGGACCAGGTTCGCTATGAGTTCAACGACAAAAGTATTCATACATACTTAAACATGTAAGCAGAAATTCTGAATCTCAGATAGACTCTTACTAACAGTGCTCAGATGGTCGATTCACGGCAGGAAGCCTACGGCAGAAGCGATAGGGTTTGGGGATGGCGACTGAGTGATTTGGCTAGTTGAGAATAATTCATCTGCCAATGCTGGTCTCTTTCCATTCTCATTTTCGAACTTATGATCACTCTCTCAAGTACAAAGCCGAATTGTGGCAGTTTCAGGCCGTAAAAGCTGCTGCGTGGGTTGCTAGTTGAGATTAAATTCAAGCCTGCATCTATAACGCAGTTCTGTTACATGTTGAGTCGTTTCAGACGGAGTTCTGACGAAGTTCTTCTGATGATTGCCCAGAAATATGTCCTAAACTTTCTTTCCTTGCTCAAGTATCAGACTTTCTTTGCGGTCTTTGCTCACTGGCCACTCTGTTCGCTAGTTGCACTGTCCTCATTGTCCACCTACAGCAACTTTGGTACTTGAGGCTGAGTGCTCAGTAACATTGTAAATGCGAATCCCACATGATTCGGACCATGGCAAATCTATTGTGCCCATTGATCTCATCGAACTTGTATCGTGTGGTTCTCTGAAATATCTATCTGATTGAGTTTCAAACAGAACATGCTGTGGCGCCTTTCTGTCAAGCTTGAATTAAGCATCTGGGGACTGAATGGTCTCGGTTCAGACTGCCGTCTCGGAGACTTGGCTGTCTAAACCTTATTGGATATATGCTTTTCGTCCAGTGTCGCAGCCTTGGCGGCTTCTTCCTGTCTGGGATGCGATACGTTCCCAAGTCAAAGTATATTCCGTGTGTCTCTTTTTCGGGGATTTGAGCAAACGCCCTTCCGATGTCGACATCCTCATGCGGGCTTTCTTTAGTCCCAACGCTGCGGTTCCGATATCCTCGGATTCCCCGATTTATGCTTATGGCGATCATTCTCCAGCTTCCTGTAGCTGGTCGTCCTTGCAGCTCGACGCCCGCCAATGACATGCGGTCCTGGGTTTCATCCTAAAACAACTTGCTCTGCTATCATCTGAAGTCAATTCCTCTTGGGTGTTCCCCAACGGACATTAGAGTTGGTGATTTTCCGCTGATCGCAGGGAATGTCTTGGCATTGGCACACCCCCGGAAACTGCAGACGAGTCGGAGTGTAAGCCAGATGACTCGCCTGATGCTGCTGACGACAGCTTCGTTGACCAGATGAGCCCGAGGCTGCATCATCAAGTCAAGATTACACTATCACTGACTGTCGGAACCTTCTAGCCAAGTGAACTAGGTTTGACTGCGACGTTTACATTGTCTGAGATGCCGCTTCGTCAGGGACCACCTCACGAGACCGGCCACTAAGCCTCTGAGTTGCTGACTCTTCAGCATCTCTTTTCGATCAAAGAAGATGAGTATAAAACCGTTGGTAAATCCAACTGCATTCCATGTTCTATTCAGATCATCGCACCACCCAATCATTACTTTACTGTCTCTTCCACAACATCCGACAGGATTCGGATCTCTATCACTTTACTTACTTAATCTCATAAGACAATCATTCAACCTGACTCCTTGAATCGTTCAAGATGCGCCTTACACTCGCTTTACTTCTCTTCTTGGTTGTTCTCACTGTGGCTCTTCCAGTAGCCAATCCCGCCAATAATAAATCCTCCACCACCAAGGCAACTACGAAGGCAACCACTAAAGCACCCACTAAGGCAACAAACACAAAGCCATCTTCTGATAAGAAGAAACTTGAGAAGGGCATCAAAGATAATCTTAAAGCCGGCGACAAGGAGATCTCTGCCACTGAGAAGGCACAGAACGCTGCGAAGAAGAACGACGCCAAGGGCCTGAAGAAGGACGAAAAGAAGATCAATAGCGCATTGGATGAGGCAACCAAGGATCGTCAGAAGAACCAAAAGATCGCTGGTAATAAGGACCCTGCCCTGACCAAGGGACTGGGAAAGGTCGAGAATGCGCAGAAGGGTGCGAAGCAGACAGTCAATGGCTTGACTGGCGACCCTAAGAAGGACAAGGGGTCGTTGGATAAGCTCGATGCTACTTTCAAGAAGGGCAAGAAGACTAATGAGGAGAACCTTAAGGAGGTAAGTTATATCGATCATGATACCTCGGCGTTTCTGACTAACGCCGCTCAATCAGGCCAAGAAGAACTTCAACTAGTCCCATGGCATTGACTGTGATAGATTCAAATGCTTGGTCTATCATTGCAGAAGACATGCAAAGTCCCTGAATTATTTAGTTACAAAGGGATCAGAGAGAAGCATCAGTTGGGAAGCAATTAGATCAATTTTAAAGGCACAATGAATCCATTGGACACTCAAAGAAGATTCGTGGAAAATTATTTTGAAGCTAATTCCATCGGTTACCCAAGTGCTCTTGATATATAACGCTGATGGCTCCCCATATGCAAGCCATTCATCTTCAACTGCATTGATATACCGTGGGAGGTATTCAAAACGTTCCTTGAAAGTACTCCGCGACCTGGGGTGGGAGCTGGCGATACGCTTCAAGCTTTGCATCGACGATAAGATCTTCAAGAGTTGCCTTCTCGTATCCTTGGACCTCCCAGATATCGGTTCCAACCATTTTAGCTTGCTGGCCAGTGCCCCATATCTTACGGCAGTACCAAGCCAGGGTGAAGAGACTACCTGATTTAAGCCCTTCTTCGACTTCGGAATTGACTCTCTCAAGACTCAAGGAGGAGAGACGAGGAGGAACGCCGTGCTTCTTTTCCAACGTGGTAGCAACATGTTCTCCAGTGACCTTCAACTCTGAAATTGAGATTGACCTATTTTGAAGCTGAGCAATTGGTGTCGAAGCGAAGATAGCAGCATATGCCGCGGCCACGTAATTTCTAGTGCTAATCGTCACATTGTTAAGCATTCGAATTTGCTCAGATTTCAGCATCAGCCGCGACTTACCATAAGTCCACAACCTCCTTGGCACTGTTTCCCGAGTATACGATTCTGTTACCGGGCAAGTCTACACCCATGCCACTGTTATGTCGATATTCTAGTCAGCCGAGATGAAGTTCAAAGGTTGAACGCGAGCAATAGAGGGTGATCTTACGGAGTGTTCAGTGCAAACTCTGCAAAGTTTCCAAGCAGTACCAGCGACGTTGGTATACCAGCGGCGATAGAAGCTTCCTCAACTTGGCGCTTAGCCTTGTTGACGCCGATCTTCAACCCTTGTTCGTCGTATCGACCCGCGAGCTCCGACGGCGAAAACAACTTGACTTCCGTCTTGGGTATGGCACTGATAAAGGCATGCTGTCGCTCAACGCCTTCGTGCCCGACCAGGGAGCTGTAAGACTGTCAGAGCGTCTGGTCGGGATGGGCTGGACCCGAATGATATCTCGAGGCCGAGAAGTACTTACATTACGATGTCAATGTCATGTAGGGCATCAACGAGGGCTTTCTCGTCGTCGACATCCACCTCCACACTGGTGACGGAGGCGGGTAGGCTTGAGATATCGGATCCTGGTCGGTAAATGATTCGAATTGGTGCCCCTGATGCAATCAAGGCTTCGGTTATCTTGGAACTTGCCCAGCCTCGATGGCCGTAGATGGCGATACGATTGAAAGACGGCATATTGGGACTGAAAGATGAGAATTGCCAATATTATCTGGCTGAGTAGTTTAGGGAAGTATGTAATGGGGTTACCTTAGTTACCTGGATAGCCGAACTAGTGGCAGCAAGGCAACTTACTTTATCTATCAGTTTACCAGCGTACATCTGTGTTTCAAAGCTATCACTTGAGTTATCATCTGTGAGACCTGACTAGAAGCAAGATTGGTCATTCTTGGTGGTGGGACTATGGAGAACTTTCCGGTCTCTTATTAACGAAAACGAGGTGCATTGGCCGCCGTGCCACCTCCGTCATGGTAGATGGTGATTCCCATGCACCCGACATCCCCGCTCGCTGTGTAACCAGCAGGAACAGCGGTTTCTCAATCGTATCTGTGGAACAAGACTGATTCAATTGGTCAACCTTGGGTGCAAATAACCGTAGCCGGTTCTGAGCAAATTTTGCCTCTGTATACTAATGGGGAACAGTGGGTGCATTCCGTCGATTAATAATTTGCAGGCATTAGTCAAGATGACACTACCCGGGCGTGTTTGCTTCCGATGGACTGTAGTCTTCGTTCCACTTGGCCGAAGGTAGATCAGAGTCATCATAATCTACTGTATGTAAAGTAGTTAACAGCCGGGGTTTTGTTCAGCAAAGAGGGCATTGAATATTCAAGTTATTGAGATTTGTTTTCTCAAGGTCATCCTGGTAGAAATGCAGACGTCAAGAGGCTGAGATACAAGGAGAGTCGACGACAACTGTAGTATAGCAGCAATTCAAACGATTTTTATGCTATGTAGTACATCAGTAATTCACGAAAAATGAAAGTCGGCCGATAATCGGGCTTCCAACGTCGCGATTTCGGTCGTGCAAGTTTCACGAGCCACAAGAAGATTACAAATCATTAAACAACCCTTCGCTGTCCGCCAAGGTGAAACGGCCACGACTAGAGTCATCTCTCACCGAGTTCTTCACCTTAGACTGTATAGAAAATCTCAGGTAAGCATGCCTAGTACGTTCCGGATTTCCTCCCACTCAGTCTCCCATCCGGCAGCGGCAGCCGAGTGTAAGCTACGGCCGCCCTCGCATCGCCGCGGTCCGCTTCGCAAATCAGCAGAGGCCGCGCACGAACGGTTGGAGGAAATGACATCACATGGCACCCCAAGGCTCGGATGTCCGTTTGTCGTGCCAAGGATGGCATCTGCTTCAGCGTCTCTTTGCCAATGTTTTCGAGTTGGCAGGTGATGAGAGATCAGATTGTGATCGTGCATTTATAAGGGATCTCCTCTCGTTTCCTAACTAGAAAGCAAGTGCATCGTGATAGCATCCCACGCAGTTTGACGTCTATACTTCAAGATGAAAGAACCGCAGCGACGTTTACGATACAATGTCGCCATATCACTCGATGGCTTCATCGCGCCTCCAGATGGGTCAACAGATTGGATCGTACAAGACGACAACATCGACTTTCAAGCACTTTATGCCCAGTTCGACACGTTTGTTATGGGCCGCAAGACATACCAGTGCATGTTCGCTATGGGCGAGCAAAACCCTGTACGACGATACCCAAAGCAGAAACTGGTTGTTGTTAGCAGGACTCTGAGGAGCGACGATCACCCGAGTGTGACTATCGTATCGCGCAACTTCACCGGCTACGTGGCGGACCTCAAAAACGCGGAGGGCCGGGACATCTGGCTCATGGGCGGCGGGCAGCTGGCGGGGCCGTGTCTGGATGCGGGGATCCTAGATTCCGTCGAGACCGCGATCATGCCCGTGATGCTGAGGAAAGGAACCAGAATGCTGCCGGACTCGGCGCTCACGCCGCTTGGGGGGTTCAAGTTGGAATTGGTGGATTGCAAAAAGTTGGACAAGAGTGGCATTGTGAACTGCAAGTACAATGTCAGCAGGGGAATGGCTGCGTCTCTGGGTGAAGCATTATCATTCTGTTGAAGGGAGGCAGTGGACATGAAAAAGGTTCCGATATACCCTCACGCGGTGAAACTCCCCCAACCATCGTGCAAAGTTATTGTTCAAAAGTTACTTGAGTTGCTTGGAGGCGGAAGAATGTTATTTTGACTTCAAAATTTTGTAACTCATTCAATGTCTTTATGTTTCCCATGCGCCTGCCTGTCTATGATTTCTTGGTAGAAATGAAGAGGCCTTGTGCGACCTGGAAATACTAGACCTTGTGGTAGTCTGTTGTGGAGCACCACCATCAAACAAGTCGGCGGTTGGTAATGTCGAGATGAGGTTGGCAACAGAAACCTTCGCAACCAACAGCGCCCCTGAAGCCTGCATCTGCAGAAATGACGTGAACATATTTGGCGTGTTGAGGGGTAAGTGAAAAACAAACGAGCCGCTCCGTCGGTGCCAAATCTGTCCGAGCGCGTGCCTTCATCCCTCGAAGACCACTACCAAGATTTTTAATCTTGCGCAGAACGATCTGGCAAGACAACGTTCAAAGGATTCAAGTTCGCGTTTTAGTCGAACGAAGGCTTAAATCCGTAGCGCAAACACCATCTTACCTCCGCTATTTCCTCACCATTGACTTCAATTTGTTCTAAGGTAGGGGTGCACTGCGCCTAAATACCTCGGTTCGTGACCATCAATACTTCAAATCGATTGAGCAACTATCGAACTCTTTGAAATCAAGATGGCATTAAACCAATCCAAAAAAGTCTTGATTCTAGGAGGTACCGGGAAAGTCGGCCGTCAGATCACAAAACTCTTCGCGACCACATCCACACTCACTTTTCAAGCCTCCCGAAACGGAGCTGTCACCACGGAGCCGGACGCCGGCAATGTCAAGCCTATTGCCTTCGATTGGGGGAACGAAGAGACATGGACGGCCGCGCTAGACCTTGGCGCGACAAGCATCTTTCTGGTGGCTCCGCCGGTCATGGACATGCTCCCACCGATGCAGGCTTTCATCGACCAAGCACGGCGGCAAGGCCCGACCACTAGATTTGTGCTGCTGAGCGGGAGCCTCACAGAACCTGACATTAACGGTTACGCGATGGGCCGACCGCATGCGTACTTGAAGGAACTTGGCGACATGGGCCAGATAGAATGGGCTGCGCTGAGGCCGACGTGGTTTCAACGTGAGAATCTGGACTGTGTCCTGAGAGAAAACCAACGAGCTGACATAAAAGAAGAAAACTTCGCGGAACAAGACAATCACCGGCTAGCGATTCGGAGTGAAAGCACGATTTACTCCGCTACGGCGGACGGAAAACTTCCTTGGGTCGCAGCGGAGGACATTGCGGCCTGTGCATTCCAGCTACTCACCCAAGAAGATGCGCCAAATGACGAGTATCTCATTTTTGGCCCTGAGCTGCTCGGCTACGATGACGTGAGTACCATAAGCCGGCCTGAACCCATATAACGATATTTTTTCTAAAGCACATAGCAGATCGCAGCTATACTCTCCGAAGTTTTGGGTCGAAAGATTGTTCACAAACGTCTCTCGGTGCAGGGACTCGTTGAGCGCTACGTCACTCAGGGCATGCCGCGGGACTACGCGGAGATGATGGGCGGGTTGGACACGGCTATCAAGAAGGGGGAGGATATTCTGCCAGCAGCTCCCGCTATTCTGCCACCAAGTGTAGCTACAGCCGCCACACGACCGCCAGTCTCGGGCACATACGTAAGCTAGGCTCTACGTAGTTAGTATTTAAATAGATTAGACTAATTAGAGGCTATTAATTAATTTATAATTAATTAAATTATTTTAATAAAAAGTATAATAATTAATAAATTAACCTAATTTAACGTAATTAACGAAGTAGCTTAATTAATTACTTAATTAACTACTTAATTACTCTATATAGCCTATAGCCCGTAATTTAGTAACTTTTTTTACTTTAGCTTCGTACTCTATTTTAGCTTTATACTTATTAATAAGTCTATTTATCTTACTTTTTATTATAAAATTAATATTATAAGCGCAATCTTCGTTAGTTAGATCCTATAATACGTTTAATTATATAAAATTACTAATTAATTAAAATCGTAATTTTATAAACGTTAATAGCCGAGGAGCCTTTATAAAATTAATTATATTACTATTAATTATATTAATTATTTTATTAATAATAACCCGCTAGTATTTCTATTATATTTTTATATTAAGTTTATATATATTAAAATTATATATAATTTTAAGGCCTTATTAAGTAGAAGTAGCCCTACCTAGCGCTAGAAGTATTATTAATAAGAATAATATTAGTATAAGTACTACTTTTATACGTTTAATAGCTTCTTTATATTTAAATATAGAGGGCTTTTATTTAAAAAAAGTACTTTAATTAATAACTAGCTTTTTTAATTTACTTATTATAATTATTATAATACTTATTATAAAGCCTTATAAAAGACCCTTACCTCGGATTTATAGGGGATTAAATAAGGGAATAAAAATATTATTATTAATAATAAGCTCTGAGTATTACTAGAACTAATATAAATAAATTTCTTTTAATAATATTAGCGTACTATTCTTAATATATTACTAAAGGACGTAGTAATAAAGTAGCCTATAAGTAGTTCGAATTAAGTAGTATACGTACTTTTTTAATAACTTTTTTAATAAACTTAAATTTAGCTATTTACTTAGTATACTAAGTTTTTATAAAAGTTACTTAAGAGTATTATAATATATATACGGACGTACTTTTTTTTTTAAATAATTCTATAATAATATTTAATACCTTAGCTTAGTAACGGGTTTAATAAGTACTAATTATAACTACTTAACTTATTTAAAAAATAATTAATTTATTAAATACGGTTTTAAAATTACCTATATAATAATAAACTCGTATTTTAATACTCGTATATAAAGATTCGATAATTAACGTAGTTAAGTAACTAAAGTACTTAATTTAGTTAATTTAAATAAATATAAGTTTTTTATACTACGGTTTAAATTAAGTATTAATAATATAATTAATTACTACCGTAGGGTACTTAATAATCTAAAATTTAAATAATTAATTATAATATATAGTTATTAATTAGCTATAAAAGAGATTATTTTAATCCGTAAGGAATTATTAAAAATAAGAGTTATATATAATTATATTAATCTCCTCCTTCGTAACTAGGCCAAAGTAATACTTAGTCCGGGTTAGTATATTAAAATTAACGTATTAATAATAAAATACGTGCGGTACTATTTTAAATTAAGTATTATTATTAAAGGTATTAAGTAGAGTAATCTTATAATTTATATATATAACTTACGAAAAAGAAATTTTATAAGCCTAGAGTAATATTAATAACTAGTTAATAACTTAATAATAATTAGCTTCTTTTTTATTAAATAGAAAGTAGCTTGTAATTTAGAAAGTATAATTATTATTAATTATTTTATAAATATTAAATAATAATATATTAAATCGGTTAGTTTTATATATAAAATCTATTAATAAAATATCTAAATATTATTAAAATAGAGAAATTATAATAATAAGTACGATATATAAGCTCGTAATATAGCCCGCGTTATTACGTTAAAAGCGGTACTAGTACTTTATTAAATTATATAATTAATTAAATAACTACTTAATAAGGGTCCTATTACTTAATTTATTATAATAATAAGTAGCTAATATATTAAGTATATTACGGGCGATAATACTATTATAATTATTACTTTTTAATTATAAGCTTAAAAAGATTTAAATAAGTTAAATACCCTTATTTTATTAATTAACAATTTAGTCCTTTTTATTATATAGTAGCGTATAATAATAATATATAAAAGCGTTAGTATTACTAAATAAATAGTTATAATAATTATAAAAGTTATTAATAATAGGATAAAAAAGCTAATTACTACTTAAAAAGCTAGTAATAATTTATTAATAATAGTTTATAAATAAGGTTAAGGATTTATAATACTTATTTAAATAAGTTAATTTTATAAAGCGTTATTATTTTTAATTATAATACGGGCTATAAGTATAATAATAAGTAATAATAATTAGTACTTTAATAAAAAGCTTATATTAAATAATTCGGATTATAAAACTAGCTTTATAAGTAGCCTTATTAAGTACTACTCTAATCTTAAGTAAGCTAAAGAAGCGCTAGTTATAAAATAAGTAATTATATTTTACGTAACCGTAATTATTATAATTAATAATATATTAATAAATAAAGGGATCGTTAACTTTATAATTATTCTCTTTTTATAGTATATTAACGTTAAGAATAGCTTTAATTAGTAGTAGCGGTAGTAATAGCGACGGCGAGGTTAATAAAGTAGTAGTTATAGGTGGGTGGGTAGGTAGGTAGGTAGGTAGGTAGGTAAGTGGGTAGGTAAGTGGGTGGGTATGGGCAGCTAGGCTCCGTGGTCAGAGGTAGGGGCGGTCGTAGCCACACTTGGGGGCAGGATATCGGCAGCTGCTGGCAGGATATCCTCGCCCATCAAGAACGGGAGTGAGAACCGGACGAACAGTGTCGTCCTTGCGGTGACTGGAAAGCAGCCAAGGAAGTTCCGTGAGTTTGCAGAGAGAAACAAGGCAGTCTGGGCGCAAGATGTCTGAAAGCATGTTCACAACAGGGGCTCCTCAGGCTTGAAGTGAGAATTGGCTCACCGAACTCAGGTGAGAAGGATGAGTGCATGCGGCAGTGACGCTGTAAGATGCCTTCCGCCCTTGCTCATACTATCTGGTCGCTCCACCAGACTTTCGTTCTCGGCGAGCATTCCATGTCGCCTGTACTTACATAAAAACGAGTAATAGGGGAAAAAGGTTTCGTTTTCAGTCAGCAAACGCCGCCGTTTTCAGCCGAAAGCTAATACAGCTTGTCCTCGCGTGCGGGGATGTGCGCTAAGGTTGAAACAAGTCATGAGATCACAAAGCCTCCCTGCGTGCCTGAAAGTCCGCGACATGAAATGCAAGCTCATTGTCCTTTTTACAACACCTACCTAATCAGATTGCCCAAACTCCAGTTCGAATGACTTGCGCATGAATCCCACGATATGGACTCATCATTTGTCGCGATTGAGCATGAAATGCCGGGGAAGGCCGGCGGCCGGGGTGATGCCCGGAGCCCGGAGGAGGCGGCGAATCCATTGACGTACCCCAAGGCAGCCGAGCCATTCAGTCAGGACCTCTTCAAGAACCCAACGTCAGAATATAGAGGGTGCCCTTTGTGGTCATGGAATACGAAGCTGGAAAAGAAGAAGCTCCTCCGCCAGATTGACCATCTCAGTGAGATGGGCATGGGGGGTTTTCACATGCACGTCCGGACCGGACTGGATACCGAGTATATGGGTCCGGAGTTCATGGATCGTGTGCGGGACTGCGTGGAGTATGCGGAGAGTAAGGGCATGCTCGCCTGCTTGTAAGGAACCGCAAATCCCGATCATTGTTCAATGGGGTTGCTGACGACACTCATCAGATATGACGATGATCGGTGGCCCTCCGGCGTTGCTGGAGGCAAGGTAGTAAAGCAGTACCCAGAGCATAAGACGAAGCACATTCTGTTCACGCCGTATCCATATGGCTCAGTTGAGCTCGGCGGGTAAGTCTTCAGGCCATTCTTCTTGTATCCATTTAACGCGAGTTTTAGTGGATGCGCCCCAAGTTCAGCACAGGCCTGCCGGAGTGAAGAGGGATACCTCTTGGCACGATTCTCAATCACACTCGATGAGAATGGGCGCCTGAAATCGAACAAGAAACTCGAAGAAGGTGAGGATGCTGAACCAGGCGGTAGAGTCTGGTACGCATATGTCGAGATCAATCCCCCATCATCTTGGTTTAACGGACAGACCTACATCGATACGATGAGCACTGAGGCCATGAACCGCTTCTTAGAGAGCACCCACGAGGTTTACAAGGATAAGATTGGCGACAAATTTGGCACGACAGTGCCCTGCATCTTCACCGATGAACCTCAAGTAGCTATCAAGACACAACTTTCCAGCCCGACTGGAGTGGAAGATGTCTTTCTTCCATGGACAGCAGATCTACCCGACACATTCAAAGCGACGTATGGTGAGGGTGCAGATCTCGTGGCCAACATTCCGGAATTGCTGTGGGATCTCCCGGGGGACACCCCAAGTTTATCCCGCTACCGATTCCACGACCATGTCAGCGAAAGATTTGTTACCTCATTCCTCGATCTGCTGGCAAACTGGTGCAGAAAGAACAAGATCATTCTGAATGGCCATATGATGGAGGAGCCCACCCTGCGTTCTCAAACAACTGCCCACGGCGAAGCAATGCGCTGCTACCGAAACCAGACGCTTCCCGGTATGGACCTTCTGAACGACTGGGTCGAGTATAATACCGCGAAACAGTGCACGAGCGTCGCCCGCCAGAACGGTGTTCGCGGCGCCATGAGCGAGATCTATGGGTGCACCCACTGGTACTTCACCTTTGAAGGGCACAAGGGCTGCGGAGACTGGCACGCGGCTCTCGGCATCACGTTCCGCGTGCAGCACCTCAGTTGGGTCAGCATGGCGGGCGAGGGCAAGCGCGATTATCCAGCCAGTATCGGGTACCAGAGTCCATGGTATAAGGAGTACGGCTACGTCGAGGACCATTTCGCCCGTGTTGGTGTTGCCTTGACGCGCGGCAAGGCCGTCACGCGAGTTGGTGTGATCCACCCCATCGAGAGCTTTTGGTTGTGCTTCGGTCCCAATAATAGCGGTGACGATGAGATCGGTCGCCGTGATCAGGCTTTCGCCGAGCTCACAAACTGGCTGCTGCATGGGTTGGTTGACTTTGACTTCATCTCCGAGAGCCTTCTCCCGAATCAAATCGGTGAAGATATCTCGAAGCCTCTCAAAGTTGGTCAGTGTGAGTACGATGTCCTCATACTGCCGAACCTACGAACTATTCGGTCATCGACCTTCGAAGTTGTGAAGAAATTCGCTGCAGCTGGGGGTACCGTCATAATCGCTGGTGACGGCCCGGTTCTTATTGATGCTCAGGCTGCACCGCCGAATCTTAGCCTGGACATCGAGCCGTCGGTCAAAGTGGCTTGGGGTCAAGGGGATATTCTCTCTGCGGTATCTCAGAACCGTGACTTGAAGATCGACTTGAAGGATGGGGGACCCTCCGATACCCTTCTCTATCAGATGCGCCAGGATGAGGATGAAAGATTTGTCTTCATCTGCAACACCGATAGGAATAACCCATACGACACGCTGGTCAACATTAAGGGCGACTGGGATGTGGAGGTTTTGGATACCTTCACCGGCTCAACTCGTCATCACAAAGCTCGTTATGAAGGTGGTTGGACCATCTTCGATCACAGATTTGAAGGCTGCGCAAGCCTACTTTTGAGACTCTACCCCGTGCCAGGGGAGGAACTGTCTTTCGTCAGTATCGAAGAAGCAGTAGCACTAACCCCAGCCCAACACGCGCCTGCTGAAATCAAGCTCGAAGAAGTCGTGCTTTCGGAGCCAAACGTTCTGATGCTTGATTACGCGCTGTACAGAATCGACGATGACCCATGGGAGGACTCTGAACGACAAGAAATCCTCAAGATCGACAATGAGATTCGAGGACGTCTGCGCATCCCAGCTAAGGGTTCCGCCTGGAAGCAGCCCTGGTCCGTCCCGCAGTCGGAGCGAGCAGCAAAGGTCTATGTTGACCTCAGGTTCGAATTTGATTCCACCGTCATTATTAAGACTCTAGCCTACCTCGCGATGGAAAATCCCGAAAACGCAAGAATCACCATTAATGGCAACAAACTCCTAGTCGAGGAGAAAAGGCTTTCTTGGTGGGTCGATGAGGATATCAAAACCATTTCGATCCCGAAGAGAACGATTCGCAAGGGGAAGAACATCATCGAGCTCAGTATGCCCTTTGGTGTTTTGACAAACCTGGAGAGGATTTACTTACTTGGGAGCTTCAGCGTCGAGCTGAAGAACAATCTGCCTATACTATGTGAACGAAGACAGAGCTTGGGTTGGGGCGATGTGGTTACACAAGGTCACCCATTTTACGCTGGTAACGTGACTTACAACTGCAGCTTCTCACTGAAGTCTCGCTCGACTGTCACCCTCTCGATTCCAAAGTTTGCGACGCCCGTCATCAAGGTTCAATGGAAGGGGAACAACGGGCACATTGCCCTACAGCCAAGGAAGCTAGACCTTGGGCAGCTAGAAGCCGGCAAACACGAAATCTCGATCACAGCCTTCGGTTACCGGTACAATTCATTTGGTCATATACATCTCACAGAAGGTGTCTTTGGATGCTGGCCTGATATGTGGCGAAGTAAGTGATCTAGTGGTAATCGTTGTATGGCAGCATGCTAACATAATCCTCAACAGCTGGCGGATGGGCTTGGAGCGAGGAGTATCTGTTGAAGCCTACCGGAGTCCTGGAAAAGCCTTCCTTGATTGTGGAATCTAAGGCCGGCGAGGGGAGTGAAGAGTGGATTGTCTTGGCCGAATAAGTATCTCAGCCTTGGCTTTTTTCCAACCGCGATCAAGGAGGATGAGCAAAATTGTACGGTCATTTAGTCATAGGTGTTATTGGTGATGTTTTACTGTAATACTACTTTTCTGAACGGAAAATGAGAACCGGAATGTCCTGTCGAGACTGAAGAGAAGCAGCCCCATTATACATCTTGCCGTTTTCCAGCTGAGCATCGTGTGTCGCAATTGTATTCATCCACTGACACCCCTAACCTGGAGAGCCATGACAACGCTTCCATTAGCACCGACATCTACAGACACGCCAACCCTATCAGATGTCTGGGGCAACGAATCTGCCGAGAATAGTGTACCGTTGCCGATGAGATCAAGGTATGTTCCGGCGACCTGATGTTGTCTGTCAGAATTGTATTTTACAGACACTGCAAGCGTGTGAAGCGTTCACTTACACCGAACAGAGATAACGGTTCGGCTGCTTGATAACAGACGAGACTGCCGTTGCTTGCGCTGCAAGGCTCGTAGCCACGGATGGCGACTTCTTTGACAGGAGTTCCGACGGTATTGAATGGATAGCAGGCTAAACTTCCCGTAATGATGTTGCCGTACCCGTTGATGCAGCCAATTCTTTGGCCGTTCTGAAATGCAAGAAGCTCAAACGTCCTTGGGAGTGTTGCAAACGCGCCGTAGATGGAGCTAAGCGTCAGGACAATGGATTTCAGTTGCATTTTGAAGTATCAGGTGGGATATTGGTTTGAAGAAGTATCAAGTCCCAACTATCTTTTGGTGGTACTTTGCCTTTCGATGCCCGACATTTATACTCGGATGCATCCTTTGTTGCTTGGGGATCAATGGTTTGAAAAGGCAAACAGCAGCGCCACCGTATTACTACGGGCAGAGCAAGTGCATTAAGCTCAACATTCTACTCTGTAAGATTCCAACGAGCAAATTGATAACGCTAGGACAAAGACCATGCTGTGCAATTCTTAGGTTTCACATAAAACGATGAAATATCACGATAGATCCTTGAAACAATCAGGCCTGGTGTCATTCTATTTGAAGACTTGGTTTTCGGGTGTCATCTCACGGTCCACGTAATCGTAGCTGATTCTCTAAGACCCGAAGACATGAAGCAAGAATCTGGATGCCACTTTAGTGTTGGTAGAATGAAGAGCGAGGACACGAACTGCAGTGGAAATGAGATTGATCCCTACAGTAGCCAAGTGGTAACTAGCCTCGACCTCCTGGATGCCGTTTCTTATTGACCAGAAGTGGTTGGAGGCGCTGTTGAATGAGGTTTGTGGCACGAGCAGGATCCTGACCCATGCACGATTCAGCATGCCCCAAGACAAAGGACGTGTACTTGCGTAAGTGCTGGATGATATCCTGTGGTAGCTTGTAGTATTCTATGAGGGATGCTTCGCAGCCTGAGGATCGTCTAGCTGGCATCATCTAAAGTTTAAACTCCAGACCCTCGCTGGCTAAAGTTACGATGTAGAAAGCCATCATGATCGTACGGCTTAAGGTAGTGTAATCTATTTGGCGCCAGGCCTGAACAGTTTGAAATAAATGGAATGAGTCAAGACTGTTAGAAGTTCGAAGCCGAGGTCATGTTTCTTGCCCATCTTTCTGCACTACAAGCAGTCCTTTATAGGAAGAAGACTGAGTTCACTCAAACACAAGATGGTTCTAAGCCCCTCCTTAACGCATTCGCCTTTGCCCAAAGGCATCGACCACTCTATCGCTCAATCTTCAAAATGCGCGCGCAAGGTTCATCTGGGAGCTGCAAGCACACCGTGCTGTCCGCACCGGCCAATTCCACCTTCGTTGTGAACCTGGTCGGATATAGTACACTGACCCTGCTGTCTTTGTATGTTCTCAACCCCTTGCCAAGCGAGATAGTCATTTCAGTCGGTCCATCTCGTGTCCAGACAGCGAGGTAGGTAGTCTTGCCGTCTGCAGACGTCAAAGCAAGGGCCACCTAGTCGTCGTGCCATTTGGGCAGACCCAAGGGCCACGTGGGATGCGCGTGACGCAGGTCTCCTCGCATACTCTCGTAGACTTCCAAGCCCTCTTTGACAATGGCCAGTCGATTGTCGCTGAGAAGGTCGACGTGGCCCATCATGCTATTGACGAAGCTCAAGGCGTTGAGCTTATCACTGCATCCTGGCTGAGGGTAGGCCCAGCTAGCACTCTGCTCCGGAGTCACAGCCGTGGGACATGCGGCTGCGATAGCAGCGTAGAGCTTTGGATCTTGCTGGTTGCTCGTAGATTGGATTGAGTGAACGGCTAGCATGGCGTAGTCTAGACGGTTCGCCCCTCCAGAGCATGTCTCAATGAGGACGCCGGGATAGTTGTCCAGAAGTGCCCTTATCCAGCCTAGATAGGCGCGCTGGTGCTCGAGATGGGCGGCGCCTGCAGTGCCTTGGGTTATGTATGACCTTGTTCATCCAGACTATGACTTCGGGGTGGCGGTAGTCAAGTGTCCATCGTCGTTTCTCCACCACACGGTGACCGTCCTCCTGGAAAAAGGCCTCATTGGGCAGTTGGCTGCCTACAGGGCTACGGACGCCGACCACCTCTGGCTCGAGCCATAGGCCGGGATCAGTCCTTTGTTTCGGATCTCGCCCATGAGCTTCATGAAGCCTGACGGGAAGCGCTTGGTCGACGGCTCCCAGAGGCCCACATCGTCCCACCAGTTGCCGTCGTCGGCGTACCAACCAGCGTCTATCACAAAATACTCGGCACCGAGCTGCCCGACTGGTTCCAGCAGCGCGCAGACCTTGTTTCCGTCTGGATCTCCCATGAAGCAGTTCATGTAATCATCGAAGATGATTGGCATCCTTTCCATGTCGTTGTGTGGCCTTCGAATCTGCCTTCTATAGTCGATTATGGCCGCAAACGCTGCCTGTTCGTCGCCCTGAACGCGACAACAGGCAATTGGAACAGTTGTAAAGGACTGCCCGGAGGACAATCGTTTCTTCCAACCGTGGCTCCTCAGCATTGGACCACCGGCGGCGAGATAGATGCTATCTTTAAAGTCGCCTAAGTCCTATCTCCACGATCCGTTGTTTTCGATTTGCCACATCCTTGTTTGTGGCATTGTCGCTACACTCGACAATCAGCGTCTCGTTAGAGCCGTCGTCGCTTTTAATGATTCTATGGCTCTGGTACCGCAGTCGGTCAGAAAGAGTGGTACCAATGAGCGTCTTGGCCGTCTTGATGTCACCACTGCCTTCACCGCTCATACGAATGCTGACAAGTGGGAGCTTGGAAAATTCAAAATTGGGCGAAGAATGCGGAGATGGCTCCACGGTGGGTGGCAAGATACGATCCAGGCAGATGACGCCGGCGTTGTTGACCAAAAAGTCAATTTTAAGAGCATCAGTATACCATTGAATTGTCCCTGTCTGCTTCTCACCCATCTTCGGCTTTTGGGCAAAGTCTCAGTAGAATTGGTCTGCTGTGTGGTGTGGTGTCGCGTTGTGCCACGAAGGAATAAGGCAGTGTGAACACAACAGATGATTGCGGCATTTGGATTGAGAAGCGATTACTATGTATTTTACATTTAGCAAGCCTTTTTCGATGATTCTTCATGTTGCTTAACTTATGAACTGTGGCAAGTAGCGCCTGCTTGATGAGATATCACAGGCACTCCAATCTGTGTGGTGTAACAAACACTGCGCCAGAGGCGCGTATGGTCACAAATTGCATTGAGCGGCCGATCGAGAGTCATTCACCGAGCAGCGGGGACGGGGCCCCGATTAGCCCCACCTCCACCCCCACGCCCGGGCCCGAAAGTCGGGCGGGCGCCCGCTGCTGTGGAGAGGAACAGCACAGCACTGGTGGCAGCGTTCTGCAGCTTGCCGCATCGATCGATCCTCTTAACGTAATTTGTATTAATGAACTCCAAGGTAATCGCCACGAGCTATCTTTCTTCACGTCAGGTCAGTACCCAAGGCGCCCATTACCTCACGGGTACGGGGGCTGAAGGTAGGTGGGGGTGGGGGTTAAGTCAGTGAATCCATGATCGTCACCATTCTTATCTTGCATACACAATCTGGCAAGAATTTCATGTCTGTCCCCAAACTAGTTCTATCCGAAGGTCTCCCTAGTAGTCAAGCCCCTTTGACACAGTCCCCTCTGTGAGCTTGAGGGCCGATGCCTGCTTCTGCATGTGGTTTCAAATAGCTTTCATCTTCAGCTCCAGATCGCTCAAACACTACCTGTAGGGAATTTGTGCAGCTTATTTACTTTTTAGTGGTGGGCTCATTGTGACCATGATGCCATGTTTAAAACCAATCTAATCAATATGCCGATACTTCGAACTTGAACATCAATGGATGAATTTTCACCTTGGTCATTTGCTTTGACTCCGTGATATAACACATATGTTCCGTGTGAGCCCACATGCAGAACCTATCGCGAGAGTCATCGCCAGCTTCTAGATCATCACGATAGGCTGGTGGAACAATTTCATTTTGTAGTGGCTTCGCCGAATTGAGTTGAAATTCTTTGATCCTGACGGACAACTAACTTCTATCATCATCATCCTACTTCATCTTGAGCCTTGGCGTCCAGACTCGCATGGCGCCGTTGCCTCCACGGTTTGCGCGTAGAAAATACGGAATGGCTGTCAACTGCAGTGACTCGACATCATATTCCCACGCCTTAGGACCGTAGAGCCGACTCCGCTCACCCGTGACAACGCCCACGCGAGCTAGCTTCCGGCCTGTGACCTGGAGGGGGACAACATCATGAGTGGTTGCAATAGATACGGGCGATCCCTCCTGAGGTGCTCGCTCATCTTCCAAGGCGATGTGGTCAATGTCTACGGCCTCGTTGTCGACATCCTCCAGACAATACACGAACGGCCCCCGACGGATGCAGACCGCGTCCTTGCCCGTCTTAGGGTGCGCGTACAGCCGGTAAGCCGGTGTTGGAAGCGAGAGACGAGCCTCAGTGTCTTCCAGGACGTCGGTGATGTGTAGATATCCCTGGTTGAGCTCGCCTTCCATAGAGCATGTGTACCCTTGGTCTTGCACCCAGTCAGGAATCCGCAGCGCCAGCCTGGCAGCACCTTCAACGCGAATAGTTACCTCGCCGGACCAAGGCATCTCGGTTATGACGGATAGCTTGACCCCTTTGCCTCCCAGCGTCAGTTCTACCTCACTCTGGACGTACATATGGACGGCAACAAGGTCCTCAGCATCATCGGTGGAGTAGAGAAGTGAACCCAGCGATCCGACGAGCTTAGCCACATTGGGTGGGCAGCAGGCGACGCCAAACCATCGCTCGCGATCTTTGAACTGTCCGGTTTTGGTTCGTAAGACGTTTTGATAGTAGAAGGCCTCACCGTCGGAGCTGATGGCGCCGAGAAAGCCGTTGTATAGGCAGTTCTCCATGACATCCGCGTACTCTGAGTTGAGCTCCATCTGGAGCATTCGCTGACACCACATAATGAGAGCAAAAGCTGCGCAAGTCTCGCCGTAGCATCCCTCCATCTCTAGGTCGTTGAGAACAAAGGCTTCGCCGAAGCCCTCGTTTTGGCGGTACGAGCCAATGGCGCCTGTAACGTACATCTTGCAGTCTACCATGTTCCTCCAGAGCCGCTGAAGCGCCTGCTTGCACTCGGCCACATCAGGATCCGACGCGGCCTCGACGCGAATAAGGTCGGTGACGGCCGTGTAGTAGTACATAGCGCGCACGGCATGTCCTTTGATCTCGGACTGCTCGCGTATAGGTCGGTCAGCCTGGTTGTAGGCATAATCTCTAGGGCCATGAAACCACCCTTTGACCTCGCTGCCCAGACCATCGTACGGATCGGCACCGCGTGCAAAGGCTTCGTGGTCAAAATATGTCTCGCCATTGTCGTCTTGTGTGCCTCGCTCCAGGATGAAGTACTTGGCGAGCTTCAGAGCCAAGGGGTCGCCAGTCATATCGTAAAGGCGAAGCAACCCTAGCTCGATTTCCTGGTGACCGGGATATCCGCGCTTTTTGCCCTCCTCGCGGCCAAATACCGAGTCGATGTGATGCATGGATTTAGTTGCTACTTCCAGAAGGCGTCCGCTTTTGGTGAGAGTCTCGTAGGCTACGGTCGCCTCGTATAGATGTCCAAGGCAGTAAAGCTCGTGGAGGTCGCGCAGGTTGGTCCAGCGATTCTCGAGGCCACGGACCGTGTAGAAAGAGTTGATATAGCCGTCCGGATGCTGGGCATTGCGAATCATGTCGACAGTCTCCTCCACAACCCGTAGCATATCTTCGTTCGGGTGGATGAGTAGAAAGTTACAGGCTGCCTCCGTGGTTTTGTAGATATCGCTGTCCCAAAAGGCGTGGGGCTGCGGTTGGTGGCCTTTCTTCCATGTGAGGCAATCCCAGTGGCCCTCGGTCTTTTGCGCCTTGATGATAGAAGGCACCGTGGACTCGCGGACACATCGCTGGAATTTGGCCCAGAATGGTGATGTCACGCGGGCACTCTGAAATGATACGCTACTGAGCGGCATGCTGGCGGACGGCGGAAGAGAAACTCTGCGTTTCAGGTCCTGTGACTGGATACTTGTTCGAGATGGGAATTCAGTTTCGGAATGGGCAAGGTCAGCTAAGATGTGAGAAAGCAGAGGGGAGCGTCAATGCTTAAGAAGCCTGGGGATAATAAAGAGAACATGTTCACACATTCTCAATTATTGAGCCTTCAATTCTGGAAGGCCTGTGGCCATTTGAAGGAACGAGTCAGACCTGGATGCGGTTGGCGGCACAGGATACGCGCAGGGTTCATAAGAGGGGCCCCAGTTTGGTCCAGTGTTGAGCGAGGTTTATTCAGGCTCATGCTACGCACGCTAGAGGTTATCTGTTCTCGGGTAGTCCTACTAGCATACTCTTGTAAGCTGTAAATCCGATGGCGTTGAAAATACCGGCCTAATGCAAAGTATAGAAACGCGGATTTGAGAGAGAACCCCTCTCCCCCACAGTCTTCCGAACAAACAAACAGTGGACCTACTACATGGTAACCTGACCGAAATCCCATTCCTATTGGCGTGCTAAAGAGTAAAGACTACTTCATCCCCCCCCCCCCCTTGCCCCTCTTGCCCCTGCCCCTCTCTGTCCCTCCCCCACCTCAATCCCGTGGACGGCTCCGCTCCAGCTATCAACGGAATCACTTCTCTTGTGTACCATCTATCTTGCGCTAAGCCCCAAAGAATGTCATTCGCGAAGGGGTGACCCATTTTCACATAGCGATTCGACGATCTCACCTCGTATTCCAAGATCCCACATTGGACTAAACGCCAATTTAATGAAGGCCACACGTAGTTTGTCGGTAAATACCAGCTTAGACATGACACGAGATCTTCAATCAGCCTCATTCTTCTGCGCAGCACCGTCTACGGAGACTTGAAAAGCGCACAGGCACGTATGTGCATGTAGTGTATGGCGTCACGAGGTCAGATGGCCAAAAAAGTAATAGCGTACAGATAATGTTTTCAGAATTGCGGCATATTTCTGTATCTGAATAAAATAGATGGAGGAACAGCTTTGTAATAGGCTCCGTGTTTACATAGTGTTAAGCTTTGGTGTGAGCTACCTATGTTTACCTATACCCTATCCAATGGCATATGTACGCATAACACGTCCTTTCTCCTTCAGATAGTGAGTACCAAAGACCTTTGACTGCTGTCGTCCTTTTCATATTCCAAGCTCTTCAGCACATGTTACAACAAGTGTGGCTTCACGTCCTGTCTGGCGGATTCTTAAGCATTCTCGATCGTGGTGGTGGTGACAATATCGTGTTTTTCTTTCGATATGTGACGATCGTTGTCGGCAAACTCTGTAAACAAGATTATTAATACACTTGATAATCGAAGAAGACCTCAAATGAGTAGATAAGAAGGTATTAAGGCTTCCAAGAATAGGAGCAGACTTACGGTCGACATTGGTATACTTCCACTTGCGAGCGGGCACTTTATTGTCAAACAGTAGATCGATCTCACCAAAGGGGCGGTCTTTGGTCTCGGGCAAACGGAACCAGCACCATATATTGCAAAGGAGATTAGTGCCGGCGTAGAAGAGAGCAGCCTTGGCGCCCCAATTCCAATCTGACATTCACGTCAGCCTTTCCGAACTTTCTGTTTGTGCGGTGTCTTGAGAGTCACGAACGGAGATCCGCGAAGACAATTGATGGACAAAAGAAGATATGAGCAGAGAGAGAATGAGAAAAAATGAAACACTTCCTACCATCAGGGGAAATCATTCGTGGGGTGATGATGTTGTTGACGATACCCGTGCAGACATATGAGAAGCGGCCAATGGTGATGGTTTTGTAACGTAGCTTGCCAGAAGGCGTCTCGGCCACAATTGGGTAGGCGACAGGGCCAATGGTGATGACGTTCACGAGCTGGCATGCAATCATGACAATGCCTATGGCGAGACGGGCCGCGGAAGAGTGGGCAAAACCCAAGCCACCGATAACGATGAGTGAGAAGAACATGAACGTTAAGCCGCTCATGTAGATAGTCGCGCGACCAAAATGGGGGAAGAGCAACCAGCAGATGAAGCCACCGATGATGAAGCAGGCGTTGAGCGAGATGTTAAGATCAAATGACTGCTCGACGCTGAAGCCGGCAGATTGAAGAAACAGGATAGCAAAGCCCTGGATGGCGTTGCCACACAGAATTTGCGCACACCAAACGACGATGTTCTAGTGACAGAATATTAGCGAACTCTGCCAATTGAACCGCCCATAGCATACTACAAGTACGCATATCACACCGCAGTAATGGTGGCAAAAGTGGGAAAATACTCACGATCTCAGTGCGGCGTAGATTAGTGCCCTTGAAGCAGTCGATGAAGTTTGCGTTTTCCGTTTCTGCGTGCTCTAGCTCGGTTGTGTAGCGGATGTAAGCCAGGGTAATCTCGACCTCATGATCGTTGTTTCCGTGGGCATTGCGTAGACGGTGTAAGCTCTTGCGAGCTTCCTCAATGTTTCCTCGGCGTACCGCATTCCAGGGCGACTCAGGCGCGAAATAGGCGGCAATGAAGAGAGGCAACGGCCAGATCCATTGGAGCGAGATGGGCAGCCGCCAGCCCCAGTCACCAGGAACGGTAAGGACGACACGAAGGATTCCGGCCGAGATAGTGAGACCGAAACCCCAGCACATGCAGACCCATGCAGTGACGTATGGCCGTAGAACCGTCGGTACAAGCTCGGAGGCGTACGTTGTGCTGAGCGTCTGTATACGATGTGAGTTTTTTCAGGACTACTTCATTCGGCAACAAAGTGAGGGTCACGTCACTTACCTGAAAAACACCCCAAGGGATGCCGCAAGCAAATTGACCAATGGCAAGCATCGTCAGACTGGTAGAGAAGAAAGGGATGAAGATAGCAAGTGCCATGATAACCATGAAAAACATGAGCGTTTTGCGCGATCCGAATCTGTCTTGTGCCCAAGCGTTGATGACAAGACCGAGTAGCTGGGAGACCGCGGATGAATTGGACAGGCCTGTCTGCCACTGAGTCGGGATGAGATTCTTGCCTTCTTTTTCACTGTATGTGCCGAATCGAGCCTGGAATTGCGCCTGTCCATAGAATGAGCTCATCTAGGGAGGAGCGTGTACGTCAGTCAAGCCCACGACAACATGGAGAAGAGGAATGGTGGGGGGAGAAGTTGTTCGTAAGGAATAATTACCATGTTGCCGTCAAAACCCTCCATGATCAAGGCGACAGACAGAAGCATGGCCCAGAACATGGCAGCCTTGTATTTCTTGAGAGCCTCGCGAACTTTTAGCTGCGCGTCGGCATCGTTGCTAGCCTTGGCGTCCTCAACCATTTTCTTAAATTCAGGGCTGACAATGTCGGTCTTGTCAAGATGCCCTCGGGCCACCGTGACATTAGATGCTGCCATGATGGTTGATACTGGCCTGCGAGAGGCTAGGAAGTGGAGGCGAGTTGAAGTCAGTTGCAATATCGAGCCTTGTCGAGACGATGGCTCTTCAAAGGGATTAAAGGGTCCAGTCCGAGTAAGGGGCTGGGCGACGAGGTTCTCAGCTAGCCTTATACTCCTGCCTCATTCGCACGCGACGTCCCCAAGTCCCAGTGCGTTATGTACGCGTGGGATTGCTGAAGAGAGAGCCACGCGAATTGAGAAAGTACATTTCTACCATGTACATATGGCGTGTATGTGTGCTTCAGGATCAACATGCTATTCAGCCCTCCACCCCCACATTCTCCGGCTGGCAAGTGAGAGTAATAGCTTCATTTTAGGCTGATCCGTATTCTTCAACCATTGACGGCTTGAATCATACTACCCGTGTGATGAGGAACACTACAGGGCGCCTCAATAAGCCTGATGGTGGAGCTTTTTTTGCATGGTGAGCTTAAAGGTTGATATCCGGGTTAGCGCTGGGCTCAGCAGTAGAGAGACAATTCATGCGAACATCAGCCTGCGTCGCGTGGAAAGACACAAGTGGGAACCCAGGACGGGGTACCTACAATGCCAGGGATTGGGCGCAAGGGTGTTAGACTCCACCTCCACAAATTGTTCCTAGCTCTATCCTCGTCACTTGCAAGGAATCCTGGGGAATGAAGACTCACTAGCTTCCAGTATGAGGGGACCCCGCCATTGAGGCTTGTTGGAGCAGATAATCGAACGACTAACTGGTCATGTACCTAGAGCCAACGTGGCTAGTTTTGAATGCCTCAACGCTTCCGCAATAAGAAGTTGAAAGGAGAAAGGTCCAATTCCAAAATTCTTCTGAATAATGTTACATAATTAGCGCGGTAGGCTGCCCTAAGACTCCGACGAATCGGCTTAACGGGGGTAAGTCGGAACACCCCCATTCGGCTACCCCCCCCATTCGGCCACCCTAAAAATCCCTCCTAGCCCCCCTAATTAAAATCCTACCCTTAATTTATAAACTACTATAATAATTATAATTATTATCTAAATAAATTTCTTTTTAGTATATATATTCTTTATTATATTATAATATTATATATTAAAAATAAAGTTATTCGAGCGCTTAAAATAATTAAAAATAGTACCTTAATTAAGAAGGCCTCGATTAAGTTTAGTATTTTAAGGAGTATATTTCGGAATTATTAACAAGGTTAATAAGCTAAAATAATTACTTTTACTAATTAATAAAAGCTTCTTTTTTAATAAGAAAATAGGCTAGCTAAATAAGTTCGTATTTAATATACTCTAAGAGTTATATTAACTTATAAATAAGTTAAAGAATTCGCTAAGTAAGTTTTATAAACTTAGGGGGATAATTATCCTCTTAAAAAGAGATAGATAGATATTTTTTTTAAAATAGAACCTATTTATTAAAGTTTAGAAAAGTCGTTTTATAAATTTAAAGCGTATTAATAGAGTATTTACTAAGGTAATTAGGCCCTAGTTCTAATTACTTAATATCCTAGAGATTAAAAATATTAAATAGGTTAATAAATATAATATAAATAAGATTAGTATTTTTAAGGGTAAGGGATTTAATAAGTTAGTTTTAAATATAGCTAAGACTAACGTAGTATAGAAAAAAGAGCCTAAATCGCGTTTTTAGATCTTTATTATTAAGTATATTTTTATTAATAATAAAGTTATTAAATTATTACTAATTTATAAAAGAAAGTCGGTTTAATAATAGTAGTTCCCTCTTAATTTTAAAAATCTTAATAATTAGGAGTTTATAATAATAAATAATAAGTAGATTATAGATTAGATTACCCTTATATAATTAAGGGTAGTCTTTTTATTATAGACTAAGCCCCCCCTAACTAGGGGACTTAACCTATAGCTAGAGCCTCGATTATTAATTCTAAATAAGTATAGGAGTTATATAATAATAAAATTTATATAGGAGTACTATATTAATAACGTTTACTTATTATTTTTATTATTATATACCTCTTATATCCTCTAACTATTAAATATAGCTATTTTTAGTCTTATTAAAACTTATTATAAAAAAGAGCTTAGTAAGGAGGATATAATAAATAATTTTACTATTATTAAAAAGTAATACTTCTTAACCTATTATATTATTACTTATTTATTTAGTTTAATAAGGAATAATATATAAAGTAGTTAGAGAGTAACTAGTTTATAACTATTTAATATAACTATACTTTTTAATAATCTTATAATATTATCTAGCCTAGCTATACTATTAAATAATATTACTAATACTAAGTAAATAACTATTAATATTATTAAAGTCGTTAACTAGACCTTTATAGTATTTATTATTAACTAGTTAATTCTTAAAAAAGCTAGTAATCTTTATAAGTAACTAAAGCTATTTATAGAGCTTAGGCCTAATTATAATACTTAACGTTTACTTTTTTATAAAGTTAAAAAAGTTTTTAATAAAAAGTCCTTCTTATTAACCTTATTTTAATAATAAGTTCGAGTTCTAAAAACTAAAGTTAAGTATATAGTTTTTTAAAAAAAAAGAGTATTTAAATAGACCTAAATACTAAGTTTACTAATATTAAGGATATAAAAAGAGCTTAAAAAGACGCTAACGAGCGTTTAATTAGTCTTAGTTAAACTATAGAGGTCGAATTACTTAGTAAGGGTAATAACTATATTATAGTAGTAGTAAAAGGTAGTTAATTAATTAACTATAGTTAGTAGCGATATGCCTAGACCTACTTTTAATAGGGTGGCCGAATGGGGGGGGTGGCCGAATGGGGGTGTTCCGACTTAGCTAACGGGATCTCCATATATCCACTCTATAAAAGACCAGACGGAAATGTGTGGGGAATCGCAGGATGATGGGTCGTGGTTAAAAGATTTGCGGTCTTATAGCTCGATTCGAACCGTTGCTAGAACGTCACAAAATGACTAGCATGGTTCTGTAAGCTAACATTGTCCTCGATGCATAGAACGCGAGAAGCGATATTATATTTTTTGGGCCGGATGGGTTCGGCAAAGCACACCTAGGTACACAGTACTTACATGCGGTGCTCAAGACACTATAAGCTGACGTGTTTGGTCATCACTTGGTTCTGGCTTTGCCAAGCACAAGAGAGTCTAAGAAGTGAAACAAAATTCGCTGATGAAAGAAACTCCATTACGATTCTTCGGTAGTAGTACATTTAGTGTTGACTGAGATCACATCCAGTTGAGCCGCATAACCCGCTGATATGGTCCAGAACATGGGCTGCTCATTCAAGATCCTTGATGCCTCTTCTAGAATCTGGGCGGGACCCTCCTCGGAGCACAAATCATCAACGCCTTCGAGAAAGAGCTGAGTATTACCGCCATATCGGATGAAATATTGCACAAACTCATCGTCCAGAGGGCGATCAAGCTGTAGCATGCGTGGCATGCGACGCTTTGTCAAGGATACTTCGCAGCGTGTGGATGCAGAACGACGCTTTTGTGAAGGATTCGTGTTTATGCTGGAGTTGCCAGACGCCGGTGACGATGTGTCAGATGAACCTGTGCAAGGGGATGGGCCGGTAGTCGAAGGAGTCTCGTCGGAGGGAAATCGCTCCGTGTGTTGACTGCAGGTCAAGCTGGAGCAAGTGTGTTCACGTCGGGGACCGAACTTTCCGAAAGCCCAGAGGGTCAACGCTGCCAGAAAGACTGCGAATGGTTCGATGATGGGGTGTGAGGAGAATCGCCTGACGTGCCATAGGATGGCACCAGCGTGGATGACAACTAGGCGGGCTTTGTGCCTGTCCTCTCGAACCCAGGAGAGAATCGTAGTATGCCATGTAGTCCGATCTTCTGATGATGCGTATATCGAATGGGGTAGGCTGTCGATGGAAGCACTAGTTGCGTTTGTCTGAGCGCACCGCAGGAGGGCCTCGACAGGTGCCAGTATGAGTAAGCGGGAAAGGTGCAGATGTAGGATTGATGGACTCTCAAACATGGACTGCTGTGCTATGAAGCCAACAGCGTCCCAATGAAGAAGGTCCAGACAGTCGCAGGTGTAGTCCCTCCACTCAGCGTACTCGGGTATGGATCCTAGGTATTGTTGCTGCTGCGCCTCTCTTCCGCCTATTCTGTGACTGTAGGTAATATTGAGGTGTACTGCTTCACCGAAATACTGTCCTATATCCCATTTCCGCCTAAGTAGCATATGTATTATGATAACGACGCCTAGTTGATTCTCAGGTTGCGGAGAGTTCTGGCTGCTCCAGAGCTTGCCGAATGAATCTCGCACGCTTGGTCTGAGAGACTCCTCCGACAGAATTGCGTCCACTCCACTCCTCGTGGTCGTATGAGACGCGAGTGCTTTGAACCAGCTTTGAGCGGAGTCCGCGTCCCACAAACCTTCTGCGCTAGGCATTTTGAGCGCCAGTTTGCCAGACGGTATACTTGGAGGACGGTTCGCAGCTAACGAAAGCCAAGCATCTAGAAGCTTTGAAGTCATATGTGTCAGTCATTTCCGGCCTAACAAACGGTGACAACAGCAGATATTCTCGCTATTCTTACCCATATGAAAAGTCCGCTTCGACGTCTTGTTTCACGAAAGCGCCATGCCAGCCACACTTGCTCCACGCTCTGGCCTTCGAGATAGTGCCCGATCTTGTCATCCTCTTCAAGGAGCTGTAGTTGAAGACAGGAATTGTATACGAGAGATATGGCGCTATAGCCACATTTGACCAGCGAGTTATTATGGCTTTGGCACATGCCCACGACAGCGAGCGTTCGGGCCTGGATGTAAGGAAGACAGTCTTGTACGCGACCAAAATCTAGCTGTTAAAGCAATTTTATGTCAGCCGCGGCGTGAAGTTAGCGGACTATGGAATGTGAAAGGCCTACCTCACGTATCAGTAGGTCGTGTAAAGCGCCACAGAGTTGCTCGCCGAAGTCGGTCAATTCTGTGAGACTCAGATAACGGGACCCAATGGCTGCAACCCCAATGCACAAACTCCAACCCCAAACGGGAATGCTGAGAAGGGAGTTGTCGACGAATGGGTGCAAGTGATGGAAATGTTCAAAGTACTGCGCAATAAGATACTCAAATGTGTCTCGGCCCAAAAGAACATCCAAATCTGCAGCAAACCTCTCAGGTAGCAAAGGTCTTCCGGCTCCTGATAGCAGCCTCGTTTGAATCTCCCGATACACGGAATCTGGAATAGTGAAGCGAGAACTTTTTTGCTGACTTTTTGCTCGATTGATTTCCTCCAGAAGCACCGTTGACCATGAAGCACCAGGATGAGAGTCATGCTCGGTTAAACCACGTCGCAGAACGGTAGCATGTCTTTCTTGAAAGCCCCTGTCGGCCTGCGACTGGCGAAACCCACGGCCATTAACATAGAGCTGTCTGTGGCTGGTCGTATCATGGCTTCTATCAAAGGCCGAAGTTTCTGTGGCGGTTGATCCATCACGCATGTATGTAATGAACGCTGACATCTGATCTTGATGATTCAGCAAGGATTCATCCAGATTTGTGACCAAGTTCGACCCTCCCGGGCTAGAGGTACTGTTTCCAGCAATGGAGCGAATGTCTGCTTGTGAGGTGACCATCATCTGAGATCGTCCAATGGAATCATTGCTCGGAGCGATATTTTGGGCTACGACTGGTTGATGAATTTGGGCGTGGCATACATTAACAGTCGGCTCCTCCCATGGCGCCGTATCGCAGTCCTGGAGGCTTGTATCCAACTCTATGCCCGCATCATTCTCAGTCTCGTGATTTGATTCAATGCCCTGGACGCAAGTACTTGCATTTCTGTCAAGGTTCGAATCCGTGCTCTGCTTTTCTGTCAGAGTACCTTGATCAAGGGACAGCCTTGACCTGGTTGAATATGGTTGGGGATTACCCAAGGAACCAATTCTTCGAGAGTAATACCTTTCGCCGCGTTGAAACGCTGGAAGCTCATCATCCAGTCGAGGGTGAGATTCTTCCTGACCATGATTAAGAGTTCCCATTGATACTGGAGTCTCGTCCCCGTAGCTTGTATATCTACGTTGAGGGGGGTTGTATTGACACTGGATACTCTTTTCCACGCAGCGATTACACGGAAAATCGCCAGAACACCTGACATGTGAAATGGCGCAGAACGAGCACGTTTTGAGGAGGGGAGATGAGGCTGTGGAGCCTCTCAAGCCCGGCCTTGGGCCAACGTGAAGCTGCTCGTGGCGTCGCGCTGCGTCTCTAGGAAATAAAATGTCAGGAATTAGGCCAACTTTTTCAAGGATTATAAGAACATGAATCGAATGCTTCTCGATGCCAATTGCACCTGTCGTGAAAATGGGCAAAACAATTTCAGGTGATAGGGCCTGGGAATACATGTATGGATAGCTGTCTGAAGAAAACAAGACAACGTTACCTGCGCGCGAACTTTCTCCCACAGTAGTTGCATTCGATGGGCTTTTCGGTAATATGAGTCTGCTTGTGACGCTTCAGATGGTCTCGTCTCATGAAGCTCCTACCGCATATGCTGCACACGTGCAATGCGGGTTCTGTCGCCGCAGGTGTCTCGACCGATTGAGAGGCCATAGGCAAGGATGACATGATGCTTTAGAAGGGAGATTCCTCGACAGATCTTTGTTATATACAAGGTAGATGTTTATGACTAATTATGACAGGTGAGCTTCATACAAGTGTCTGTCCGCTTGGTTGTGTTTAGGGAAGCTTTGGGCGACTGCGGAATCCAACATTCCCTAATGTTTATTTATGTGCTCGGCTGTGTGAGCCGATTGCCGCACCAATCCGCACGCGGCCACTTTGTCATCAACCCCGCGAATCATCTTAGCCAAAGAATGAATTTCAATGTTCGAGATCCACGACCTGCTGAAAAGTTCCTTCCTCTCATCTCGCCTACCAAGCGGCTACAGCCGCAGCCCCTGCACAAGGTGTTGGCGTTGGTCTACTTTCTCAACCAGTAGGTCCCTACGGATCAATGGCATTTACATCATGACCTCGCTACTAGCCGGGGCCTAAGCAATCCTTACGCCCCGATGTTGAGAAACGTCTCTCTTTTTCCCTAAAACTATTTAGTATTGCCCCTCTCAATGGCCTCTCGTCGCATAACCAAGTATACCGCTGAGGTCCACGTGTATGACAGATCCCGCAGCCCCTCACCCGTGATAGCATCAAAGTTCTCTGCAAACCCTGACTTCTCACACAGCTGTAAGAATCGCATGCTGATCTCATTGGTGGAATGGGCTCGGCCAGCATCACGCAAGCCAGATTCCACAAGATGAGTTGAGGGAGCCCAGATAGGGCCGCGCCAGTATCCGTCGCTCTCGTAATGAGGCGAGGTGATTTCCTCGGTGGCGAGACCCCACTCGCTTAGGTGCTTGAACACAATACTTGTGACCATCTTGTCAACGACTTCATCTAGTAGATGTCGCGCGGCGGCGAGAGGCATGAACTATGGAAGGGCGGCTGTTGTAAAGGTCTCGCCTGTTATAGCATTCTTGAGGAGGAAAGACTTGCCATACCATAATTCTTCGATGAGTGCATTGATCAAAAGACTTCTCATATTTGCCCACTTCTCGCACTCGTTTTCGTGTCGTAGGCGCCTAGCGACCTGTTCTAGGCAGCTGGCCTGGAGAAGAAGGGAAGCCGCGAGGTCAGGCCCGACGATCATTGGCGTGCTGTCGAACGCGGTGGAGTTATCCCACCCAGAGTCATTACCATGAGCCCAGAAAGGAAGACGCGAGGTGTTGCCTCTTCGCGTGTCCATCCAAAAGTCCGTCAGTCTGACAGTAGCATCGTAGAGGGGCTGCAGTTTGGCGTCACTCATGTCAGGAAACTGGGTGAGAAGCCTGGAAAGAGCCCACCCCTGGATGGGAGGCTTTGTGAACCCCCACTCGACATTCTGCCAGTCGACTGAGTCAGGGAGACGACCGTCTCGGGCTTGGTGGTCGAAGACGACGGTGAGCTGGTCGAGGCCGAGCTGCTGATCAAGGCAAGCTATAGCCAGCGCGTTGAAGCAGTGATCCCAGCTCCAAACTTTGTTCATCCAGAGCTTGGACATCAAGATAGCTTTCTTCGTGAATCTGTGTTCAGCGCGGACCATGGAGGTCCAGGTCACATAGCTAATAGCAAGTACTACGGCCTCTGTTGGCTTGCCCCCAACCCAAGGTCATAGGGCGACAACGAAGTCATCGAATGCCTTGGCCATCTTTTTTCATTCTCTCAAATGTGGTATTTTTGGCTTCCTCGAGTGCCAATTTGCACGAATTCCCTTTCCACGTCATTTGTGGCATGTTCTCACGCACACCGAGCTCGTGGATGATGAACTCCCACTGCGGGTCGTCATCTGTGACCTAGTGAATCTGGATACGGCGGTTGGTTCGGAAGGCGTTGGTCTGGCCATTAACAGTAGTCAAGTTTCCCTTGGTGGGAAGAAATCGGTAGCCAGGGAAGGTCTTGTACGTGACCTCAACGCCAGCTTTGAGCCCATCGTATGGTGGACGCTCGAAGACGTACATCCCCATATAGACACTGGGGTCTGATCGAACGTCGCTATCAAAGGCCAGAGGCACGTTTCCTCGGAGTCGAATGGAGCGCAGATCCTGAAATGTTGCCTCACAGACGATCTTACTCTCATAGCTCCATTGGATAGACGATACTGTGGCTTGGATGGTGGTTGGCGACGGCGAATCGTGGAATCCGGGAGGTTCATTTAGGCCAAGACCTCCGGGCAGAGGCCGGAGAGCAAACATGGGTACTGACAAAGCGACGCATTGAGATACGAGGTAAAGGTCGGTCTGTGGCGCGAGATTCAGGGGAGGCGCGAGTCGAGTAGTGCGGCTAAGGCTTAGAAATGACCCTCTACGACTCCAAGGCAGTACCTTTAGATCTGGCTAGAACGCAGTTGAGAGGGTTGCGGAATCGATTATATCAGAGCCCCAGCAGTAACTTGAAAAGAATTGATAACTATCAGTCGCTCCCAGGGAGGAAGAAGGAGTTTGTGATGGATGGGTGGTCTACTTAAACATCTCATACCGGAGGCATAGTAGTGTGACTGTTAGTATCCCTATTATAGGGTAGTTAGTTCGAACCGTAGTTAATAAAGAGATTAATTAAATTATATAAATATTTACGTAGTAAGTATAAAAAGGAGGTTCTAACCGTAAGTTAGGCTAACTATAATAATTATAAATAGGGCCCCTAATTAGCCCCTACGTAGTTAACTATATACCGTAATTAAATTAGACTTTTAATTTAATATTAACTTTCTTTTTTTTTATTAATTTAATTATTATAGTTAAAGGTATAATTTAACCTCGGGCCCGTTTATTAAGTCGTTTTTTTTTTCTTTTTTCTACTTTTTTTATATAACTTATCCCTCTATTTATATAATAACCTTTTTACTACTTATAAATTATTTTAATCCCTTCTTTAGTACTATTTTTATAAAAGCGTTTATAAAGTTATTTTTATTATTAATTTAATAGATCTTAAGTATTTTACGCTTTTTATATAATTACTTAAGGGTTATAATATTAATTATAAGCCTCTTTTTTTTTATTATTTTTAATTTAATAAGGTATTTATATAATAAGTAGGAATTAGTATAAATAACTATTAAAATAAATAGAAAGCTAAGTTAATTAGTAATTTTCCTTAGTATTATTAAAATTATAAAAGAGAGGTTAATATTATTAATTATATTATAAACCTCTAACGCTAGTATATTTTTTATTATTTACTTATTTTTAGTTAATAAATAATAAATTATATTATTATATATAATAAATTTGTTTTTACTTATACTCTTATTAACTAAGATAATAATATATTTTAATTATAAAATAAGGTCGTTATTATTCGTAAATAACTTATTAATAAAAATATAGAGCTTATTAATTATAAAGTTAATTAGGTAGTAAACGAGGCTTTAATTAAGATTTATTTACTATTATTTAAGCTACTTATTAAGTACCTCGACGTTTTATTTAGTTAGATCTATAGCCTACGTTACCTTAATATAATTAAAAATTACTTTAGGCTAATAAATACTTATAATATATACCCTTTATACGAGCTTAGTTTTATATTACTTTTTAATATTAGTTATATTTAGATTAATAAGGTTAATCTTTTTATTTTACCCCTTTTATTAAAAAACGATAGTTTCCTTTTTAATTATAAAAATCCCGCTATTAAAAGCTAGGGGGGTATTTATTATAAGGACTTTTTTTAATTTTATTATAAAGCCCGCTTTTGAAAGCTCTTTATTCTCCTTTCTTATAAAATTAATATTAAATAAGCTTAATATATTATTAGTTTATATTTTAATAATCCTAAATTAGTTATTTTTATATTTAGAAATTAGTAAGTACGGGTCGTATATAGAGGTAATTATTAATAATTAATTAATATAAAAATTATAATAAGTAGCTTATTAATAAGTACCCGATTTTACGAGCTTATATAGTAATTTAAGTACTTTAATAATTATACTTTTTAAGTACTTACTAGCTATTTTTTTTAATAAATAAGCTAGGATTTTCTTTATAAGTCCCGTAATTAATTAAGTATAGGCCTAGGTAATATTATAGCTCTAAATTTTATATCTCTTTTTTTATAGTAATATTATTAGTACTATTATTAATCGTTAGCTATAGCGCTATATAATAGGCGATTATATAAGTAATATTATTCTTTTAATATTACTATATTTTTAAATTACGTATCTAGACTTTTTATATAACTAGGGTATTTTTTTTTAATCTTACGAACTATTTACGATTTAAATATATAAAGGTTTATATACTTCTCTAAGTTATAGAAAATAAATTAATAAATCTCTCGATTATAAAGAGTGTTTATTTTAATAAAATCTAATCCTTTATATAGCTTTTTAGTAATTATAATTATACTTTTTTTATATAGTTTAATTACTAGCTCGAAATTAGCTTTTTTTTTTTTACTATATAAAAAGTATTAATTATTTTATTATTAATAATAAATTACTACGTTAGGGCTTACTATCGTAGTCTTTTATAACGTCTTATTAGTAATATTAGTACCCTTTTAGTAATTTCTTTTTCCTCGTTATTTATTAGTATTATTACGACGATTTTATTAAGGATAATCTTTTATACTTTTATTACGGGTTATATAGTTTTCCCTAGCTCTTTTTCTTTTTATAAATTAAAAATTACTTTATTAAGATTTATATAGTACGGTTTAATTATTATAATTAATATTTTAAGTAGCTAGTTACGATTTCTTATAATTATATAAGAGCGCTCGTTAATAAAAATTAACTTATATAGCCTAGCTTATTATTAAATAATTTTATATTATATTTATATATCCGAATTTAGTAGTATATTTAAATTACTTTTTATATTAAGCTTATTATGCGTAGTAATTACCTTATTAATTTACTTTTTTATACTTATTTTACGTAGTATTCGTATTACTTTTTTAATTATATAGGCTTATTAGCTTATATTTAGTAATAGTAATAAAACTAAGGTCGTTTTTAAATATACTTTAAATACTAATAGCGTTAGTATAAGCCTATTAGGCCCTATAGTATCGTTATAGTATTTAAATACTATTTAGAGGTATTTATTATTAATAGAATTAGGATTTTTTTTTTAATAATTCTAAACGCTCTTTTTAGTTACTAATATACCCTTTTTACTTTTTTAATATTATAGTGCGTTTTAATAAATACGACGTTTAGTTATATACTATAAGCCGTTATATTTTTTTTAAATTTTACTAATTTAAAACTAATATTAACGTTAGTTCTAATACTATTTAGCGGTCCTTAGTATATATTAATCTATCCTTTTTATAGGGCTATTTATACTATTTTTATATATAAATCCCGAAAGAATTGCCTTATTTAAAAAAATATAATTACGTTAATTATATATAGAACTAGCTAACTATTTAAATAGAAAATATTAACGACAATTTCCTAATTAAAGTTAAGCTTATTACGTAATTTAAATTTAAATTTACGTAGGCTCTATATATTTATTTAGTATTAGTAATATACTTTTATTAATTACTTTAGCGCCCCTATTTTAATATTATTATTATTTGATTATTTTAAGAGGTTATATAGCCTTATAACTAACGGGTACCCGAATTTCTAGTATAGTTATCTAAGCTTACTTTTTATTAAGTAATTAATTAACTTTATATTATTAATAAGCTTTATAAACGTATACCCCTATTATTATTTAACTATTTTAAAATACTTATTACTAAAGATTCTATTTTTTATATTATTAAATATAATACTTAGTTAATTTATATTTTTTAAATATAAAAGAAATAGGATATTAATAAGTAAAATATAAAAAGTTATTATTTTAAAATACGTTTTTATTTTTATTATACTTAGGATAACGATTTTTTTATTTAAACTAAAGCTAATTTTTATAATACTTATTATTAATATATTAAATATTATTAGTACGATTTTTTATAATACTTAGAATTACCCTTTTCCTTTTATTAACTATTATAATACTTTAATATTTAGGATAAGCTTATAGAAATTATCTAAGCTATATTTTTTATTTATATAAAATATTTATACAAGCTTAGTATTTAAATAATCTAAGTAATATAAAAAGGACCCTTTTAGCTACTCCTAAATTTACTTAGTATTTTTTTTTTTAAAGATTAAGAGAGGTAGCGTCTTCTTTTTAAACGTTAAGAAAGTAGACTTCGGCTTTATTAAATTTATTTTTTTAGCTACTTCTATATTTATTATCTAAGGGACCTTCTCTTACTATCCGTAAATAAAAACCTATTTATTAAAAGTTTTTATTATTTTTTATTTATTTAGTTTTATATATCCTCTAGAGGCTAACGGGGCAGAAAAAGAGTAGTTAATATTATCGATTTTATTATAATTTAATTCGTTAATATAGGGGGTAAAATTTTTTTTATTTTTTAAATTTTTTATAAGGGGCAAATACTTTAAGCCGCTATTTTAATTATTATTACTAAGTTCCGTACTCTTAGATTTGTTTTTATATATAATAAGGAATTAGTTAAATTAACGAGGGTTAGTTTTATTATTTACTATTTTTAATTTTTTATATTATTTATATAATTTAGTACGCTCTTTCTTAGAGTAATTACTTAATTAATATTTATCTTTTTTATAAATATAATATTATTTTTTTTATTACCTTATTTATAAGTTAAATTTTAGCCTATTTAATAAATCTAAGCCTTTTTATTAGTAATTACCGTATTTAGTCTTTTTTCTTTTTTTATTATATATTTAATTAACTTAATATTATTAATAAGGGCCGTTATATACTTAGAAATAGGTTTAGTATAGTATTTTTATTTTAATATTAAAGCTAGATCTTAGTTTTAAGTAAAGCGTTTTATAGTTTTTAAGTACTTAGTATAAGGTTATTTTTATTTTTAATATATATTAAATTATAGTATAAAAATATCCGATTTTTTACTTATTAATTCTTTTATTTAGCTAGGTTTTTATTAGTTTATTAATTTAATTAATAAGCTTTTTAAGGATCTTTATTTATAATTTACTTTTTATTATTCTAGTTATAAATATAAAAGAGATTATTTATAGCTTAAATAGAAGTTTTAAGTTTTTATTATAAGTTTTAAAGCGGCTTTAGATTATATTAATAGTATTAAAAAAGTCGTTTTAATTAAGATTACGTACCGTTTTATAATAATAATTAAAGGCTTTATTTATAAGTATAATATTAGTTACTAAATAGTACTAGTATTCCCTAATCCCGACTTTTTTATAGTAATTATAAAATATTATTAAGGTTTTTTATAAGACCTTATACTTCTTTTTAGAGTATAATTTTTTTTTAAAAAGATCTTTTTAAAGTTTATAAATTACTTTATATTTACTATTATATTTTTAGTATTTATATACGATCTTTACGTTACTATATATTATTAATAACTTTAAGTCGTTTACTTTTTTTTTTATTAACTAATTAGTACTAAATTTCGTATTAATAACGGTAACGAGCTATAAATCGAAATAAATAGAATTATTAATTATCGTATTTTTAGTATTATATTTTACCTCTATATATCTTTTTATAATAATAAATTATTATTAATAATTATAAAGAGGAAATTTGCGTTATTAACCTTTTTTTTAAATTTATTAAAGCGATTATATACTTTATTAATTTATATTTAGTTTTATAGTACGAATTCTTTTTTTATAATTATTATTATTAGGATTTTATACGGTTTTTATAATTATAATTACGCTAGTAATACCCCTTATTTATAAAGGAATTTATTAACTATTTTTATAATTCTTAAGCTTATGTTTACGAACTATTTATTTAGTTAGTAACTAATGTCGTTTATGATTTTATAAAATAGGAGTTACCCCTATAGCCCTTTTTTTTTATAAACCTTAGTTAAATAAATTAATATTATATTAATTTACTTATTATTAAACTAATTTATAATTCTATATATTTATATCCCTTAATAATTTAGGTTAATATTTACTTATTTATAAGGGATTAGGATTTTATTTAAAATTAGATTTTATCCTCTTTTTTTTTATTTTAATTTATTAAAGGTCGTGCTCTAGTTTATACTCGTATTAATAATTATTAACGTATTTAATTTTAATTAAGATATATTTAATCTACGTACTAATTATAATAAATCCGTACTTTTATTACTTAACGAATTTATTAAGGTCTAAGAGATTCTTATTTCTTTTTATTATTTTATTATTATTCTCGTTTTTATTATTTTTAGTAATTATTATTACTTTTTTAAATTATTAGCTATTATACTTACTAAGATCCTCTTTTTTATTTAATATAAAAAGGTAGGTTTTAATAGTTCTTTTTTTTAATAGTAATAATAAACGTTTATATTATTATAGAACGATATAATAATTAGTCTCGGGATCTTTATTAATTACTAATTTTTACTATTTTATATATTTCTAACCTCTTAAGCCTCGTACTTTTTATAATTTCTAAATAGCCTTTTTTTTTAACTTACTTTTTTTAAAATAGTATTTTATAAAAATAGTTAAAAATAAATACTAAGTAGTTTATAAAAGAGCTATATAAGTTATTAAAAACCGTATAAGCCGTTAGGTATAATTAATAAAATTAAGCCCTCTTTTTTATAAAATCGTAGATTTTAAGGATTTATTAAAAATGCTTACTTATTACTTATATATAGTAAGGTTAGATATTTTAAAAATCTTATTTTTTATAGCCTCTTAGTACTCTATTTTATATTTTTTAAATAGTTTTTTTTATAATTTAATTACGGTTAGGTAATTATTATTTATTAGTAATCTTTTTATTACTTAGTTAATTTTTTAAAATTAGTAATTTTACGTTAAGAGCTAGTATAAAAAAAGCCTTTTAGCGGCTTTTTAAAGGATTTTTTTTTTTAAATCTTTATTTTTTTAGCTTTTTTTTAAATTAATAATAACTTTATTAAAAAGTCGTAGGATTATTTTAGAATAGCTGCCTTTTTTTTAAGTTAATTTCTAAGATTTATAATATTCTTAACTCGATATTATTAGGACTTTTAAATCCCCTCCTTTTTTATTAAACCGTCTTTTATATTATATTTTTAAATAATATTTAAGAAGTAATTAAGGGAGCTGTAAAGAGGTTATTTAGATTATAAGTTTAAAGTTATATTTATAAGATCCTCGTAATAATAAATTTTCTTATATATTATAGATTTTTTAGCTTAATAACTCTTATAAAATTACTTTTATTATTAAATAAAAATATTTATATTTAAAGATCCTTTTTTTTAATTATATAGTACTTTTTTATATTATATTATTAAGCTCGTTTATTATACTAATTAATTAAGTAAGTAGTCGTTACGTAAGTATTTTTTTTTATTAATTTAACTAGTTAATTTCTAATTATAGGCTAGTTATAAAAAAGTTATTTAGTAAAAAAGCTATTTAAAACGATAGTAAAAGGCTAGTTATTTAAATAATTTTATTAATTAACGTAGTTTAATATAATAAATATCGACTTTTTATAAATAATAAAGGGCTATAATTACTTAATTTTATATAGTATTTAAAAATTACTTCTTTTTTTATTTACTTTTATAAGGTTAATTAGTACGAATTTCTTATTTTATATAGTATTAAGAGGTCGTCTTTTTTATATAATAAGATACTTTACTAATTTATAATAATAGAACTTAATTATTAATTAGTATTAATATCCTTATTATAAAGTAGTTAGTTCGAACTATAATTAATAAAAAGATTAATTAAACTATATAAATATTTATATAATAAGTATTAAAAAGAGGTTCTAATTATAAGTTAGGCTAGCTATAATAATTATAAATAGGGCTCTTAATTAGCCCCTACGTAGTTAGCTATATGTTATAGTCGAATTAGACTTCTAATCCGATAGTAACGTTAAAAGTCGAGGAAGTTGGGAACGATAGCTATAACCTTTCCGCTAGCTTGCGAGCTTTTTTAATCGTTAATTATCTGTAGCTCTACTCTCTACGTAAATCGGATAGTCTTTAGAATTGGTCTTGACTCGGTTTTCTGAATGAGGAAATTAGTAGCGTAGATGCGGTAGATTCACGTTGGAGCAACGAAGTCCACCTCCACCTCCACTATTACCCACCCCCACCCCACAGTCCGATGCCGATGCACAAGCAGGAATCTGACTACACCATGCCAAAACCTTCCTGACTTTGCAAATTTCACTGCCATGGAACAATGGGGGAAGGGACTGAAAGCACACAGGTCTTCTAGTTGTGTTCGAATTGAATGCGTAATTGCCTCTTTCTCCATTGCACTGCACTCATATCGAACCAAGTAATTACTCACCTCTGACGCTTGTTTGGGCGCTCCTGATCACGTGCTATCTCGTCTCCCTCATACGATACTGTGGTGATGTGTCAACTGATAGGCCTTGCAGCTCTTGAGCTTAGCCCAGTTACTGCCTCAAACAAAGAGGTTTCCATGATTTTGTCTCTTGTTCCGTACCAAGTGTCAAAGACAAGACTATTCGATGAGTGGCAATCATGGAGGTAGAGCTAAATTCTACGAATTGCGTACTAGGCTGTACTATGCGTCTATACTTAGTGGTGCACTGATTGTTATTTTGATCCAAGCTCGAGCGATAGTAGGCCTGGAGGGGCCAATAACTATAAGTTTCCCTCCTTTGTATCGCCTGTTCCCAAAGACATGAAAGCAAGAATTGTAATAGTCTCAGTTAATGTAGGACTGTACCGGGCCCCTAAAACGGTCCGTTCTACACTCTCCCTTTTCTTCGGTTCACTAAAGTGAAGTGAGATGCCAAGCGAATAAACTGCTCAGGCCTTAGTGGCCGAATATAAAGTGTGGCACTATGGCTGAAGTATATACGCTAGCAATAGCTTCGAAGATGGTAGCTGATGTGCAATTCCTGAATAATAAATCTTTAAGCTCCCCGCCCCCCTGACGTATACATCCCACTGCTATCATCCAGCTTACTGGTCTAGCCCAGCCGTACTAGGGCTTGAAGCAGTTGCCCCCATACTTGTTTCCGGTCTGTGGACCGGTGCTGCTGCAGCAAGCGGCGTAGGAAGAGATGAATTGATTCTGGGTAAAAGGTAGCCACTTGAACTCGCAGAGGCCGCCGTTGTTCAGCCAAGTACCTTTACGGTCTTTACCATCCGGACAAGTGACACCATCACCCGTTACACAGCAAGTGTTAGAGAAGGTGTCAGGGTTTGGACCACCAGATCCAGTGCAGTAGCACCGATATTGCGCCTGGTTGAGGATGCAGGTCAGCGTATGTCCGCCTTTGAGATAATCAACTACGAATGATTCCATGAACGCTTGATAATCAAGCTTTTCAACCACAATAATCAAGTCGACGTACATTTGCAACACCTGCTTAGAGGAAGAAAGTGATGGGCGAGGAGAACTTCATGGTGAAGAGGATGCTGGTGGCAATGGATTGGTATCTAGAACATTGGTACATGTAAGTACAACTCCAGTTGCTGAGCGATGTGTGACTTTTAGTTACAACCCCCCTCACCTGAAACAAATAGTCTTCTCTGCGAAGTCTTGGTGGAAACTGTGAGGATACTGATTGTGGAAGGACAACAATACGTTGGAACAATGCCTCTATTCATTCGACTATCAACTTCCGGGCGTTCTGCCTCTCCTATACTACATGGCCGATTTGAGAGCCGCGGTATAGATTGTGCGCTCTGAATTCATTGCTTTCAAAGTATGTAGTCAATATTGGACTTAGTTTTGCCCGTCACCTGGTCAGACCGGCATCGAGAGTTTGACTGCCATTATCCCCAAGTCACCCCAGAAGGTCGTGGCCTTCGTATTGACGGTCTGTTTGGGCTCGTAGAAAAGCCGAATCTGAGAGAATGTATGATCTCACCGGCGCGTCAAAAAGCCGGCTCGGCTACTTTTCGTGTGTTAGCATGCATAATCAGGTCACCCCATAGAACCCTAAGTTGTCTTGGCCCACTTATAGTAGCAAGTGTCAAGCCATGCACTTAATTAGCCTTTACATTGGTGAACCTTCATATCCAATAGCTAACAGGACTATTCCTGTTTTCCGGGGAAGTCCATAGACTAAGGAACTCTAAATGTTCACCGCGATACTTTCGATCGAAAGCTGCATAAGGTAAGGTACCCTTATCAGGTTGCGGACCTCGAAGGATAAAGGCCTAAAGCTTCTTGTGCATATGAACTTGTCACAGCAACACTGCCTAGGGCCTCGTCTCAGAAGGAATCCCAATTTGCTGGCTTCATGTTGTCTTTATGTCCCTGATCACGAACGGCGCGTTCGCTCTCATAAGCCACCGTGATGTCCTGTCTCCTCGTGATCCCTGTAACTCTAGAGCTCGGTCCAGTCTCCGCCCCGACAATACTATCTTGACTACTCCCACCTTCCATGTCAATTCGCGAACCTATAGTTGTCATTGTTTTGCCGACGACGTTTCCGTCCCTTGGAAATGACCGAGACCCGTTCATCTCAATTCCACCCGACTGCAATCCCATTGGGTCACTTTGCTTCTGATATTTTCGATCTGTTGAACTTAGGACGCGTCGCCCAAGAGCCAGTTCTACGAGAGGCCCGAGAATTGGGATGCAGGCAGCAATGATAAGAGTATTGCCCTCTATACTACCGAGATTGTTAGCTGGACATATCTGATTAGAAAAAAATACAAATTTCTTGGTTACTCACATGGTCCACACAACAAGCTCCGCACTGTCATCTAGTCGGTTGTTAGTTAGCACAAAAATGCTTGTGAAGTGTCTCTTACACGTGAAGTCTTCGCTGGCGAGAGATGGTAGTCTTGTACTTTTGTAAATGGAGATGAAGCAAGAGCTGAGGGTTCCGTCAGACATGTCATAATGGAAAATAGACGCATTGAACTTTGGCTCCATACATCGATCCAATCCCAAGAGCAGTACTCAGGATCACTTTCTTCTTGATATTCATCTGAAGCCTCATCAAAACCGTCGCTGGATAAACTGCAAGGTATAAGTCAAGCGCCGCGGAGTATGCTTAATCGGGTTGTAGTCAGCGAAAGCCACGTCGAACGCACCGTAAACTGGACCGAACACTAACCTCCTGTCAATAACGCGACGTTTACAAGAACCCATGGACTCCAACAGCTCTTTTCAGTCACTTTGAAGTCCCATTGAGCGTGAGTAGGGGTGCACTGAGCAAAGAGAATGATGATGCAGAGGGACACCAGCACCAGACACCCGGTCGCCATGCCCCAGAGCAGTACTTGATGCATCCTTCCTGGATTCAATATCCTCACGAGGAGTGCCACGACGGCAAACTTCGGTATAGTGTATGCGAGGACGTTTGGAGGAAATCCTGATATTGTGGATAGGATTGCTGCGGATTGCTGTTCTTGAGAAAGGGTATCCGCATGCCGACCGTTACCGCATCGAATGGCCCAAATTTCTAGAGCTATCGTCGTGTAGCTGAGAAGCTAGCCAAGTTGCGATGTGTCAGCTAAACATTTGGCCATCTTTATTATTCAGGCATTGCTTCTTGGAATGGATTCATTGAACGAACCAGAGAAAGAACAGTAAGGTGATCATCCAAATGGGTTTGTCCAAGAATCTTGATGCGGACAAACAGCCGCATGGCGACGAAAAGAGTGCTGATACCGACAATGATACATATTGCAACAATGATTCCAGTTCCTTTGTTGTCTGTTGAGTAAGACGTTGTAGTCGAATCCGGACTTGTCATCTTGCAGAACTGAGCTCGGTTTGCGGCCAAAAGATAAACTCAGAACGTCCCAGTACTCTCAAAGGTAGGATTCAGACTCACTCCGTCGGAAGTAAAAGTCTGATTCGGACGCGAGACACAAAAGACAATGCTCCAGCGTCTCCGCTAAAGGTTTCTTGCGGTGATATGCGCCAAGAGGCAGTTGGACCAGGCTCGCAGAGTGAGGTGCCGCGGTTGGAAAAACGGTGATCAAGGGGGATCCGGTGGCGACGTCTATCGCCTCATGCAGACGCAAGCACTCTCACCTGAGCCGGCCCATACATCCTTGATCCAAAATTGAAAAGAAGAAGGTCGCTTGACAAGGTACCAATGATCCCAACAACGTTTCAAGGGTTAGGTCAAGTAGACCCGAGGCTTTCGTCCGGGACCAAAGTAACCATAGCCAGTTTGCCATCAATCTCGTGTGGGTGCTGCCGTTGATGATATTGATTGCCTCCTTCAACCAGGAGAGTCTGCTCGGAAGAAAGACATCGTGTTGGTTGGACATTAACCCACGAGGTATTGTGAGCTGTTAGTTGCGCAACATCGGCCCGGACGTGGTGCAGAGTCTCTAGCAGCCCCGCCGAATAGTCCAGGGGTCCCTCGCTCCTCTCCACCCGGCATTGATTCCGTTGCCAATCAGGCGATCGTGTTGAAAGACTCCAGAACCAACAGCAAACAACAACATCTACTGCCTGGTGTCTCCGACTGGGGTTCTCATAGATAGCTCACGCAGCATTTTGAGTGATTTCATATTTCCATGCGCTGACCAAAATTCTAAGTCGAAAGAATCCTCGTTGAATCTTTGCCCCCTCCTCCCGAGCAGTCTCATTGGCTCGAACACTTCCACAAACTAGTTTAGTTCGACAACAAACGTACATTGCGTAAATTCTAGGGATTGGATCTCTGTCGGCGTTGGAACAGGGTCAAGAGCACGACCGTCCAACAAACATACGTACGCCTATGGGTCCTCAGTTCCTGGTGCTGGGGACGGAGTATCAACCAATTATGGACATGCGGTCTGCAAACTCACTGTGCCTATCTCGGACATCTGCTGAAAGTACCTACTATGTATACTTTATCCATGAAACGTTGATAATAAGAGGAAAATTCCTGACATTCACATGCACACCATGTCGCGAACCCATGTTGAATTGACTCTTCGCCCCCTCCGTGTTGTGCGGGGCTTCCATCAACTCATGTGTTCCGCCCTGTACTTCCATATGGTTCCAGACCCATGTCGTTCCCTCGTGCGGATTCGTCACAAGTAGAAGGTGCCTCTTCAGTTTGCTGTGCAGGATAATTTGTACTCGATATATCTGCGTGGCTAACAAGTGTGTCCAGCAAGCCTTATAATTTGCCCCTTTAGCCCTCCACTCTCCTTCGATTTCTCGATTCTTTCCACCCCTCGAGTGATACCTAAATTCACCTCTCTATTGCACCATAATTTTGACATCTGAACTTATTGGCCTGCATATTTGGTTATCATGGGCTCTATCCCAAGCGAGATACCTCGCGAGGTTGACATATCTGTTGCCTTGGCCGCGTGCGACCTTCCAAGCGTGAATCAACACGTGAAGAATATTGCCAATCTTACCAGCGCAGTTGCTGGGGGTGATAACACTGCACGCCTGAGCATGCTGCAGAGCGCTCGTTTGTTGGTACATGCATTGGAGACACCGCGGGAGACCATGATTAAGCACTGCTGGGCGCAAGTAAGATGGCCTTCTTCTTGAACTTCAACGCACTCGCTAAATATCGCCAACCAGCCAGCCGCTTTCACAGCCCTGACATACGCAGTTGACTCGGGTCTCTTTGCTCTGTTATCACAGAGCCAAAAGTCTCAAAACGTGTCTGATCTAGCTCTGAAACTAGGACACGATCCTGCCCTATTGGGTGTGTCATCTCCCGCAGGACGTTACTCCCTCACCGAGTCTATACTGACTCCTTTTCTCGTACTGCAGGACGAATAATGCGACATCTCGGCGCGATGCTTTACATCACTGAGACTGGACCAGACGAATACAAGTCAACAAACTTCTCGGATGCGCTCACAATCACCAGCATGGGCGCTGGCTACCCGTGTGTGTAAGTGATCTATACCTCCCGATTATCCAACCCACTCAAAAACAAGCTATATTCTTTTGCGCGTGCCTTTCTATGAATCTACAATGTAAGCTGACCCTTGTCATCGTCAGCGCCGGAGCCTGTATGGAGTCCCTAGCCAAATTCCACGAGTTCGCTAAGAAGACCAACTACCGCGAGCCCAACGATGTCTTCAACGGACCCCTACAATACGGATACAACACCAAACTCGACTGCTTCAGCTGGCTCGCAGCACGCCATCCTTACGAGATGCAATTCGCACAGCACATGGGCGCATACCGGCAAGGCCGACCGAGCTGGATGGATGAAGGCATTTACCCCGTGAAACACCGGTTGCTCGACGGCTTTGACGACTCTCAAGATAACGTGCTCCTTGTTGACGTCGGAGGAAGCTTTGGCCATGACATTGATGAGTTCCGCAGAAAGCATCCCGAGGCCCCTGGTAGGCTTGTGGTCCAGGATCTTCCAACCGTTATCAATCAGATTGAGAAACTGGACGAAAAGATCGAGAGGATGGGACATGACTTCTTCACTGAGCAGCCGATCAAAGGTGAGAACGCATATTTTCCCTGTTGTACAAGATATCCAAGACTAATGCGCTCCGCACTCAGGTGCCCGAGCCTATTACATGCATTCGGTCCTTCATGACTGGCCGGACAAAAAGTGTGAAGAGATTCTTGCGCGGACTACAGCTGCGATGAAGCCTGGATACAGCAGGTTGTTGGTTAATGAGAACTGCATCCCCGACACCGGTGCCGACTGGCAGAACACTGGCCAGGATATCATGATGTTGACGCTAGTCAGTAGCAAGGAGCGTACTCGGGTGGAGTGGCAGAGTCTCCTAGAGAAGGCTGGTTTGAGAATCTTAGGTATCTATGGTGGCGGCAATGGCGTCGAAAGTTTGATAGAATGTGAGTTAGCGTAGCATGATCAAAGAGCGTCAAGAGCGTTGTCGTATCAATTGATGCTCCACGTTGGCTGTCTCACACCGATAGTTAGGTCGTTCGGTTATCGGGTCCCTGTAGATGACATTGTGATGAAGACTCAAAGGAGTGTCACTGCTCATATGTGTATCTATTCGTGGTTCATTCTATCCTACTGCGTTGCATAATTATCATAAAATTGAACCATTGGCCTTCATACATGCGTTACTCATTTCTCGGGCACCACCAGGATGTCGTCGACATTGACAGCTTGTCCAGTTGCCAGTGACCGATTGGCAGCAATACCAGTCAAGATTGATGCGGCACCATCAATGTGACTAGCCGCCCGCATGTACTCATCAGACACTGGCTCACCAAACAGGTCCGCAAGCAGAACGAGATCTCCACCGCCATGAGCACCCTTGGCCTCACCGAGATCGATCTCCTGAGGCGGTCCGAAGAGCGGCCGAAGCAGCATCGTCCGTTTCTCAATCGCGCCCTCCAAAGCTTGGCTACCTCCAGAGTTCACGTAGCTCTTCTCCACAACCTCGACCTCGAGACGACCACCAGTACCATTGAAGTTGACGCGGAAGCCCTCCCACGGCGCGTATGCTGTGAGAGAGTATGTCATTACCGCGCCGTTGCGGTATCGGATAAGCAGGTTCATCGTGTCCTCGATGCTGATACCATCGCCAAACACGCTCTGGTCTCTGTAGTAACTATCCTCGTGCTCTGCGTCGAGGTACATGGCCTTGAGCTGCGGGTTCTGATCCAGTTGCAGTGCAAAGGGATCCTCTTTGGCTGCTTCGCTCCCGTGAGCCCTGGTATAAAACTTCGTCACGCCCCTCGCCTCAGCGTTTTCTCGTCCGTAGAACTTGAGGTCACCCTGGGCATACACCGTCTGCGGCCGCGTCTGAAGCCAAAAATTGACCAAGTCAAAGTGGTGCGTCGACTTGTGCACAAGGAGGCCGCCCGAGTTGCGCTTGTCGCGATGCCAGCGGCGGAAATAGTCGGCGCCATGGTTCTCGTTGAGCATCCACTCAAAGTGCACGCTCGTCACCTTGCCAATGGCGCCTGACTTAATAATCTCAAATATCTTTGTGTTGTGTGGCGCGTAGCGGTAGTTGAACGTTACGCGCACCTTTTGGCCTGTTCGTTCGACTGCCGAGAAGATCTCCCTGCACCGCGGCGCGTCGATGGTCATTGGCTTCTCGGTGACGACGTTGCAGCCTAGCTCCATTGCTCTGACGATGTAGATGTTGTGTGTGCGGTCCATGGTTGTGACAATGACCTCGTCCGGCTTGGTGTCTTTGATCATCTGGTCAAAGTTGGCTGCGATGTAGGTCGGGACCTCGCCGTGGCCGAGTTCTTTCAATCTTGAGTTGGCATAGTTCATGCGCGTCTGGTTCGTGTCGCAGAGACCGACGATGACTGAAGTGCTGCTGTAGTCCTTTGCGATGGCTGTGTAGAAGAAGCCCGATCGGCCGCCGGTGCCTACGATGGCATAACGCTTCTTTTGCGTTGACTCGCCCATTGTAGAGGTCGGTTGTGTGCTTAGGTCGTGTCGATGGCTTGAAAGTGGTCGGGTATGAGAACGTCCAGTGCAAGGAAGCGTCAGATTCGAGTACACTGCGGAGTCCTTTGTTAAACGATGAATTGTAATGGGCACGGCGAGTTTATTGAGAGACACACGCCCGCGTTATCGGAGTCGTCAATCGTCATGACTTCGGCAGATGGCACTCAAAATCCGCAAGATCTCATGCAATCGACGGCCCCCGTCAGGGATCCTACTCGGGATCAGATACCCCAAATGCCCGAATTTAGCCAAAATGGCAACCCGTTTCTGGGCGCGGGGGTTTGAATGCCCGACTCATGGACCAGTCACTCGACGCTCACGATCCCCACACTGCGGAGAGAAGATGTAGCGGAACGCGGGGGCTCTCCGCTTCAAAT